TGAATCTCACATGAGCTGATTTCTGCACTGCAAAATACCACCTTTTTCATATTGTTTTTGTTTACACTTGTTTAATTTTGGAATGAGCTTTTCAAAAAGTTTTACAGACCCTCTTTGGTTTTGATTTTGTAATTCTCCAGCTCTTCTATAATGTAAACTTTGGTGCAATCAAATTCAACTTTTCCTCTTCCTTTTACTCTAAATTCCTAAACAAACTCTGTGAGTCAGTTCAGTTTTCAGTCTTAGCATGCAAGACAACAATCCAGGTAGAGATGCAGTACTGACAAAACCAAGGATGCTTCCAGTTCTTTCAATATTAATTTACTCAGTATTGCTGTCTTCCTTTCTGAACAGGATATACTTCACTGTAAAATACTTCACTGTAAAACAGAAATCTGCTGGGAAAAGGACTACAAACACATAGCACATGGAATCCAGGACACGAATGGACTCAGAACAGTGAACAAGTCTGCTGTACCGACTCACTGCACATCACACATTTGCATGGCAAACACTTCATGGATTATTCGATACCTGCCTACACTTCAGACACCAAGCTTTCTATTACCTCTATTTATTTCTTTAGAAAACACAGAGAGCCAGGCTGCAATTTTCTATGAGTCAGCTTCAACAAACTAACAGGTACCTTGTGATTAAGATACTATGCCACAGGATCAAAAGTGCTGTGCTCCAGCCCTTACTGTTTCAAAACCAATGGCACTGGAAAACAAAACAAAACCAACCCAAATCAAAACGCCCCACCCTTTCAGGTATGTTATAATCAGGCAACCTGGCCTGAAACTTTTAGGAACATATCACAGAATCATAGAACATAGAATAGCTAGGGTTGGAAAGGACCTTAAGATCATCTAGTTCCAACCCCCCTTCCATGGGCAGGGACACCTCACACTAAACCATGTCACCCAAGGCTCTGTCCAACCTGGCCTTGAACACCGCCAGGGATGGAGCATTCACAACTTTCCTGGGTAACCCATTCCAGTGCCTCACCACTCTTACAGTAAAGAATTTCGAGGATTAGCTCTTCCTCCCTCATTCTGTGGGGCTCACATATTCCTGGGCTGAGCACAAGCAAAAAAAAAAGCCTCAAACAGGTGCAGTCCCCATGTATATCCATCACCCGAGAACCAAACAGGTATTACAGAGCACCAGCGGTGTTACTCTAATTCAAAGCCAGGCAGCTCCAAAGCTTTGGTCACATTTTGGAGAGAAGTGGTAATGAGCAGCATCTCCACATCTCAAATAACATAAACTGTATTACACAATGCAAAAGTGTAATGAAACAGACTTCTGGCACAGCTGCCTGCAGACTTATGGTCAAGGGGTTGCTGGCACTCAGCCGTCCCTGTTTTTATTTCCATTCAGGTTACTTCTATGGTTATCCTGTTTCTGTATTACAGGACAATCACACTAGGTCTTATTCAAATTTTTCCCTTTAAAAATAAAGCAAATACTGTATGGCTTAATATACTAACATAAAAATATTAAGAACACTCCTTGCAAAAAAAAAAAAAAATCCTGTTGATTTGGTTTAGGTATATTCACATTTTACACATATTGAAAAAAAAGTGCTAACTCCAGAAGTCCAGTATTTCTTCCCAATTTCTTTTCAGAACTGGGAAAAACCCCACACTTTTTTGGTCTCTGCAGGTCTCTTCGGTAGACACATGTTTAAAATATACTTTAATGCTCTTTTCCCCGTACTTTAAATTGCAGGGCTAGAAGACCAACAGTCAAATGTAAGTATCTAATAACAAATTACAGATGTATAAATCAAATGGGACAAAACAGCTCTAAAACTGTGTAGAATTCTTATCTGGAAAATGCAATGCCAGAGTATTTAAAAAAGGACCCAAAGGGCTCTAGTATTGTCAGTGTGGTCACAGGAAAATTCAGCCTTGCTATGACAACAGCCAGCTAGCATGAGAATTCTGCTTTCCCTGAACACTAACACTTCTGAGAGAGGGGCCTGACTGCAGATGACAGAGAAAGTGAAGGGCGTAAATAGAGTCATACACCTACATCTTTACCAGATGGAAGCCAAGAACGATTATATTGAGACCATCAGCTCCTTCCCTCCCCACCCACCTCCTGGTGCTGTTATGCTTTCTGTGACACTTAAACAAAACCTGTAGATTTAACGAAGGAAAGTCCTGCTCCCCTGCAAAAAGTTGAGGCTATCTCCTCTTCACTTTCATCAAGGGAGTAAAAGATAGAGAAAGACACTCTGCCTAAGCAGGAACTTAGCTTTGGCAGTCTGAATGGCCCTCCAGAGGAACTTTCTTTCACTTCATTGTTGACAAATGGGGCATAGATAGATCTCCTGGTGCAAGGGCCAAGAGGAGTGTCCAGGCAAGGCAGTAAGAATGCTATCTGGATAAAGTTGTCTGGACTAGGACATGACTTGTGTATCTACACAATAGCCAGGACTAGAGAATAACAGTCAGAAGAGGACATAGGTGTAGTCTGGTGTTACCAGCCTGCCAATCCCTGTGGCCAGATTTTGCAGTGGCCAAAGTGGTTTCTGCAGTTATCCTCGGGCAGTTCTGAGATGAGGTCAGAGATTGCGGTTGCTGTCTTTCATCCCAACTGACAAAAAGCACACAGCAGTCACAAAACAGTGAGAACAGTTCCCTTCTAAATCTTTCCCTGCCAGTACTTTTGTTTCTCTGTGTCCAACTAGACAATTACAAAAAAATTGCAGGTGCATTTACTCTCCACAGCTTTAACTGAACCCTGGCAGAGCTGTTGGTGCCCTTCTTTTATAGGGGACAAAAACCTCCAGTGCCTTCAGTTCAGTTTTAAACCTAGTCCTTAATTATTGCTTAGGAGTACAAGCCTGTGAAGATAAAGTAGGTGTTGGAGGTGAATCATCTTTTTTTTCATAGCAGTTTCTATTCTAAAGTGATTTTGTGAAAAAGAAAAGGCCAGGTAATGGATTTAAGCTATCAGGTATGTAAAAAACCTTATTATTCAATTAGTCTCCTTTGACCCTACCCACTGTATCTCGTACCTAAGTATTTGGCTCAGTGGATTGCTGCTTATTTTTATCAAACTTAAATATACAAAATGTAATTGAAAAACATGAAAGTTCACAACCCACAGATGATTGAGAAATACTGTTCATCATCATAAAAAAAATAATTGCAACAAGTGGCAGAGTATTTGGTACAGAAAACAATGGCTTTGCTCCTGACTGCTCCCCCATAGACAATTACCCTCATGTATGTTTACATACTGGTTTTGCTTGGCTGTCTTCACTTTTTTCAACTTGGCATTTTTATGTGGTCTTACATAATGCCAAACAGGATGGAAGTGACAGTTTCAAAACCAGCACTTTGAAAGACAATGACAGAAAGGCTGACAATTACAAAATCATCTCTTTGTCATTCATCACTGCTACATCTGAAGAGGAGAAACAGGTTCTCCTATCAATACGCAGCTGTATGGTGATTTTTCACTTGCCTTGGTCTGTATTTCTAGATTTTACATGCTGACATGAAATCCTCATGGATATTAATGATTAGGAACCAGGTAACAACAGGGAACCAGACTTTCTACACTTGTATGGAGAAGGGATAAAAAAGACTTCTCTCTGAACTGTTTTAGCTAAACACATATACCTCCAAAGCAGACAAACCTGGCTTATTCTTCTAGTGCAGAAGGAAACACAGTGTCCGTCAGAGGGTAGAGAGAACACAGAATTTCTATGTTCCTTCTTCCAAACTAGTCCACCGATGGGAATCAGTGTAAAGCAGAAACAGACCACACCTTTGGTACTTCTCCTCGACCGTCTTCAGTAGCAGGGGAATGTATGTCTGAATGAGCATTTAAGCACAGGGTTAAGTCTAACCACCACAACTAATCTGGAGTTAAAGTTTTAGAACTTGAACAATATGACTTTGCTTTTGGATAGATAAGCCAAAATTTGTTTAGGTTTTGGTGCTGAGAATAACATTTAATATGTCCTTGTGAGACTAAGCTGAAACCACAGACAATAAAACTCAAAGGCTAATCTTATTTTTTTTTAAATATCTTTTTATCCATGTTTGCAAAGAATGAGAGTTTTGTGTGGGAAGGGGCTGTGCTATAAATGACAAATCTGTTCCTAAAGGCTCCAAGTACCTAGTAACAAAGAAGGGAAACAACCAAACATTATACTAACATTGGGTTGGTTTGCCATAGTTACAATCTCTGGTATTTCTGGGACTAGTGACCTTTCAGAGTAAATACTACAGTGAATAGTCTGTTCTTTGCAATGCATTTAGTTTCGTTCAAGAGGCCAGTTTAGAGGTTTCAGATCTTCACAAGGTCAATACCAACTGTGTACACACAAACCAAAAGAAAAACAGAACCAAAACCACAGACTTCTGTTTTCTAATTACAGACATTGAAGAAAAAACCCAAGCCAAAAGAAAACCAATAGGAAGTAAGTTCCAGGGTCTCTCCTGCATAGAAAGCAACTTGCATTTCACTGCAGGAACCTTGGTGTCACCAAAATACTTGTTTTCTTGTACTAAAACATAACTAATACAAAACCACAGTTGGTCTAATGGGAATTTAAGATGCAAAGAGACCACCTGGGTCACAAAACAAGTTCCTTGAATCAATGATTAGCCTGGAAGGATCTAAAACCATATATGCCAAGTACCATGGAGCACAAAAGTTTGTATTATTTTGTAACATATGACTGGACACCTGGGGATCAAAACATTATTTTGACACTCACATATAAAGTCCTAACTATCCACATTATTGTTGTTTTTAATCCAGAATGGCAAATCAGATTCCTTGGTCTCATGAACCTGATGTGTTGTATTTGTCCTTGATTGTGACATGGAAGTCAGAGAAAGGAGCTACAGTTACTTTTGGTGCCAGTAATTTAGCATATGGGAAGAGAAACCAAAAGCATTGTGCATCTCCTGTAAAACAGGAGACAAAGATACCTTTTTTTTGTTTACAAAACTTCTGTTTATCCACTGAAGAAAGAACTGATATGGCTAAGACATGGACTTCTCATACTTTTTGCCTGACTGCTCTAGAAGTAGCAAGAACCAATTTATTTGCTTTTCCTCCATTTATGAAATTTACTTAAAATATCAAAGGAGACATGGATCTTATCTTCATTGCACTTCCTCTTAGAAGAAAGGAAAATTAAAAAGGAAAAGGAAAAGCACACAAGCCAGAAAGGGAGGTACAGCTACTCCATCATATGCAGATACAAGGAAAACACTGCTGCAGTAGTTATGAGGCATGCACATAGGAGAATCCCCACATGATCTAGTCTCCATTCACAGGCACAACTGTAACCTAGTATAAACTGCAATTGATATGTCTGACCTAAAATCCTAACCCAAGAAAAGTTGTCTGATTTATGACCTCCTTACTATTGCCAGTTTCCATACCTTAAATCCTCCCAGAACATATAAACAATACATATATAAACCAGGTCATTTTTAGAGCAGATTCATTCCCACATTCTAAGGCAAACAGCACTGGATGGACACATCATGACTGCTTCCATTGCATTAACAAAGACTACATAATCAATGAAAACACTAAAAAATAAAGATCCCTTTCCCGCAGAGAGAAATCAGGCTGGAACCCCAGCTTCAGTGAGCTAGAAAGCCTGTGGTTAAAAAAGAAAAAGCAAACAAAAAGAACCCAAACCACTACTTCTCCCCTGTTCACCAACCAAGTTTAAGTTTGATTATAGCAGACTGATTTCAGTCACAGCACAGACTGGCATAAGGAAAAAGGAAGAAGACATAACATAGTTCTGAATTTAAATATTTTGCCACAGATCTTCAGACATTTTGCAAACTGTGAATCACTGCTCTTCTCACCTCCCATCTAAAGAAACAAAAGCAACAATGCTAAACCAAAAAGTAGTGAGGCAGCTGAGAAAGGACTTGCAGACAGGTTTCACCTACAAAATGAAATCCATATTTGGATCACTTTGACCCAAAATGGTAATTACAATACCCATGCCCCTCAACTGGAAAATTTAGTTGCAGTATTCCAGTCATTTTCAGATTTTTAACTCATTTGTCTAGGCAGGGTCAATGCTGAAATGGAAATCTGAGATTTCTGTTAGAAAAAAATCAGAATATCTTGAGTTTCGTAAAAAGAATTCCTGTTCTTCTCAGCCAGTGACAGACACAAGAAACAGCTTCAGATCCCCAGAAGTTGTATTCTCAACAAAATCAGCTATTAATCTAGCAATTAGCAGTCAAACTTACATTTCACCAGATAGAATATGCTGTCTTCCATTTGATGTGTCAGGGCCCTGAAAAGACTCCTCCTTCATGCTGCTTATAATAATCAGGATCCATTTAGGTTTAAAAAGCAAACAAACCAAACAACCCCTTCTCTGCAGTTTCAGCAAATTAACTCATCAGTATTAGCTTCCTTTGCTGAAGCTCCTTGAGCCTCTTGGAAACGTACATTTTCATTTCACTGTCATTTTGCTGTTCTGCTTGTAAAATTCAGTGAAAAGCTACTGATCTTTGCAGGTACCTCCACATAAGTTGTGTCATTTGGCTGTTACCACCGTGATCAAGGTTCTAGGCACACAGGTTATTGACCTCAAAACACGCTGTTTGAAGACCTTGTCTGACATAATTTGTGGCTTAAACCATGACAGTGTTATTCTCTATGTCAACAGCAGTTTCATCTGTTGTCTACTGTATTTACAGCTGAACAAAATAAAGAGAATAGAAACTACTACTCAGTGCAGTTTTCTTAAGACATTCTCCTGTCACAGTACTGGAATTAATTTCAGCTATACTAGTAAGTAGCCTGCTTTTTAAGGATAAGGATGTTGAGGTGTGTACAATGAAAATAATTTCTAATGTTACTTCAACTCCCAATTTACAAATCATACTTAAGAAACATGAACATCTCACTAAAATGTGCCAGACTTTCCTCTTCCTTACTTCAACTGAAAATCATTCAGAACTATTACAATAAAATTGTGTTCCATATTTTCATTGCATGATGAATGTTCAACATGGAGGTAATATCTGACTTCCTCAGGGGAGAGTGCATGTATAGCCAAATGAACTACATTCCCAGCAACCAGTGACACTGAACTTTGATTGTGACTTAATGATACAGAGGAAGCAACAAGGCAAACTGGAGGGGAAAGGGGGAAGATGAGCAACAAACTTGCCTGGTAAGAGGCTAGAAATCACAAGTTTGTGGTCTGAGTTCTCTTCCCATCATAGGCAGGCATTGGCATTAGTTGTGGTTTCATCAGATCAACCCTACATTATGATACTACCTTGCAAACTGCAGCCAAGGAGGAGGGGGGAGGGCAGGGAGAGAAACAGGAACACAACAGAGAGAGAGGGTTGAAGCCAACACCACTATATCCACCCCAAGTAAAGATGGCACAGATCTTCATATCATCCCCCTATCAATGTTCTCAACAATATACATCAAACAATTTACTAAGAATTCTGAGATGGAAAGTTTATTCATACGATGTTCCTGTGATGAGGCTTTAATAAATCACAGCTCCTGGATGGAAAGAAATACATACCACATTAAATCTCCCTTGTCTAAGCTCACTGCGGAGATTCCTGGGGACCACGGCTGCTTTAGATGCCCAGTACCTAGCTACACCACACACCTAAAACTGGAACAAAAGAGTCAGATAAAAAAATTTGACATGTATAACACATCCTCAAGAAGAACTCTGGAGTAATTTGCAGGGTATAGCAACATTTGTTACACATAACATCAAGCCTCATGTTTATGTGTAACAGCAATAGCCATCTGATTAAAACAATAATAAAACTACAGCATCTACTTCTGAGTCATTTATCTTGGATAATTAATTTGCCAAGAGCATGAGTCACTCAGAAATAACTTTTATTAACATTATCCTTAAAATGAAAGGGTTCCTTCCTTACCCTTAAATTGTTGCACATTTTAGTGCTTTTCACAATGCCAAAATCTGCTTTATTTAGAATAGCTGGATTAATTGTTGAAATAATTATCTTCTTTTCATTAGGCCATTCACCCAGAGATCTTATGGTGCTTTATAAATGCGTGTGTATTCTTTAGAGCACCCACATTTACAATGAAGCGTAGTAGTATGACAGTACCTGGCAACACCACACAAAAGCACCTGACTGGAACTGCAGTTAGAACCTATTCTCTGTTGAAATAGCAAAGGGAAATTCAGATGCACAAAACTGAATTACAAACAATGGAATTTTGCTGTTTACATCTCAGTTTTTGCACAGTAGGATTTATTTTGACTGCAGAAGGTCAGATCAGACAGTGCTTGGTAACTTCAGTGGAAACCTTTCTATTTCTTCAGAGATCAGCTGTGAGCAAACTTTCATTAAGGAAGCCTGGCCTGTTTCAAAACCTGCTTTTCCTTGACTGCAGCATGTTGTGACATCAGGCAAGGCAGCATAAAATTGAGAACTGTATGTGGAACTGTTTGGAAATACTCTAACTCTGCAGGTCTGGATATGCCCAAAGGCTGCAATCCATTCAGCTGCCTGCAGTTTAACTCCTTGCTGAAGAACTGCCAAAGGTGCAACTTCACAAGCAATTCAGACAATCTAAGACTGCCTAACAGAAGAGAAGCAGCCCTGCCCTTCTGTGCCACCAGCATTTCACCTGTTTGGCCACATAGGTCTACTTGCTGATTTGGCTGAAACTACTGGTATAAAATGCGATTAAAAAATTAGCTGCTCATTAATCCACTCTTTAGAAGCAACTGAGACTTTATGAGTTTTCATCATCCTTCATCTGTTGCTCCACTTTCAAGGAAGAAGACTGTGTTTCTCTTCAAGGACTGCAAAGAGCAGTGTAGTCTGACTGCATGGCACAAATACAGGCTCTTCTTTTCAGGAGTATGGCTTCATTCTGTGCAGGGCAGATGTCTAGTGTGTATTAAGCTCTCTGCATTCTGTTTTTCCTATAGGCTGGGCAATGCCAAGACTGAAATACTAATAAAATACAAGCTTAAAAAAAGAAAGATGTTAATTCCTTGCTCTTTTATCATTCTGTAGGATAACTGTGTTACCCAATATTAGATATTCATTTTGATAACTAAACTAATAGGATAGTGAAGAAAGCTAAGGCTTCATTCCTGACTTCCTCCAGGGGGTAGTTTAGTTACAGTTCTGGTGCTTACCTGTACCATGCAGCATAACTGCCCTTCCAGAACAAAAATTTAACTTAGACCTGAAACTGTTCTGAGCATTTCTCGCCACTGGCTCTACAGGAAGCCTAAGGTAAAAAAATCTGAAGGTCAGTGGTATGACTGTCCCACTTCAATCGCATCCTCACATGAGTTCAAGAAGCTCCAAGTGTCCAAAGCCATGATGACATTCCAAGGAACAGTAGGTACATAATGTCAGTGAACAGCACTAGTTTCTGAGGTCAAGGCAGACAGTTGACACTTGCCAAGAACAAAAGATCAGTCTTGGGTGTCAGAGCCAGAAAGATGAGTAATACTACACTAAAATACTGTAATGGCTGCACTGTAATGTATCCTGCTTCTTGAATTCAACCCATGTTACATGAGCAGCAAGCTTCTTGCTCTTGAGCTACATCTTTTTCAGGCACCTTGTATTTCTGACATGCAGAACTGTCCAGTCTTCTGGCTTCTACACAGAACTTATGTCTGTGTGTCTATATATACGTGCACACAAACACACACACCTCCATTGAGTGGAAATCTTTCAGTTTCTTCAGCTATTAGCTATATATCTCATACCTATTAGATAGACCTTAGTATCTTGTCCAGTTTTCCTATTTCAGACTTTCTAGATACTTACTGACTTAATGTTCCAATTTATTTAGATTGTTTTTAGTAAGATGACACAGCAAAAGTTGAGAATGCAAAGATCACCAGAATGTCTTGTTAAATTTTTCTGGAGCTGTTCTGAGGGGTCTGGGACCATTAGACAGCTATTTACAACCCATATTTTACGTAACACTATAAAAAAAAACCAAAACAGTGTTCTCAAAACCAAGTAATCCTAAGAATTAAAGCTTGAATTTCTTATGCCATGGAGAATTTCCATAAGCAGCCTGGAACTGAAATAAAACTGAAACACACTTTTCATTTTAGGAAAGTCTACCCTGAGGTTTTACCTTTAAATCATGGTTACCCATCTTGGTATTTATATAGCTCTGTGGATGATTGAAAAGGCATCAGCAACACATGGAGAGAAATAACGTTTTACTAATAAGATCTGGAATACACCCCCAGCCCTTAACCTAGAGGTTACAAGCTAACATGCCCTGCAAAGGAAATAATTAACATCACGTATGGCAAAAAGGGGCAATAGGTCTAGGCCTAGAGTTGGAGCTAAAAAGACATTATGAAAATATTTGCAGAAATGAAGCACTGGTTTAGGAAACCAAACAAAATTTGGATACATACTTCCAACATCCTTCAGGAAATATAAGCAACATAAAAAAACCCCACATTTTCTGAAGTAGTCAATGTTTCTGGACTGAATGTATCCTTCTGTATCAACAATACTTCTCCATTTTTATGTCCAAAGGATACAAAGACTTGAAATCCATAGGAAAACTGAGATATAAGACTCTGGCTATGTGTAATCAGTGACAAAACTCATACTCACTTATATAAATACGGGATTCAATTCAGTATTCCAGCTGTAGAGCCATTTCTAACAGTATGTCCTGAGACATCAGTATAATGTTGACTGGGAGGGAAGAATATTTTACACACCTAGTCAACACCAACCATCAGTCTTCCTGCTTGTGGATTTTCTGTTAAGGTTTCCAGTTATGCGATTATCAGTAGATCAAAAATGCCTGGTTTACATGATTCAGCATGATCACAAACCAAAGTGAGACAGAGTACTGGGTCTGGTTATAATGGAGTTAACTTTCTGGGGCACATCATAAATGCCCCAGAAACTATATTTAGCAATCAGTTGTATGTAAAAGTCACCTGTGCAGAGTGGTTTAAAAAAATAAGACAGCATACAATTTAAAAGAAATCATCTATTCTCATATAAATATGCTTTCACAAAAGAATCCTTTGACTGTATGTTTTTAAACAGTAGTTATACTATTCACAACACATATCTTAAAGACCTGATAACTCACTACATTATTTGCTACATGACTATGAAGCAGACAGATAGCTGATACATTTGTAAGACAAATGCTTGTGTCACAACCTGAAAACAGTTCTTACCATTTTCTCCAACAGAGGCCACTTTTACTGTTACATTGACTAACATGATACTGTGTTGTTTAGCCTGATCAGCTGACTTATGTCTATGCTTCAGCATCTTTCAGCAACAAAAAAACCAAAATACTTAGCCATCACTAGTGGTCTTACAGCATTGGTTGCTGGAGTTGCAGAAAGACCCTAGAAAAGGCAGAAAAATAGAAGTAATTAGTTTGGGGTTTTTTTTTTTTTCCTCCATTTAATAAAGCTTCAGTTTCCTTTGGAATAAAACACACAAAATCATATATATACACACACATACCCAAAATATTTCTCAGTTATTATTAATCTTGACAGTCTAATAAGTTTTACTCCAAATTGACAGTTCAAATGAGTAGGATGTATCTCAGAAACATTTAAGAAACATATTTTATCATCATTTCTGCTGTGATCATGGTTAAAACCCCCTGAGGTTAAGAATCCCACCATATTAGGAAAACATGAGTACAGCTGCTGTAATGAAAAGCCCTAGTGATTCTGTTTTGAAAAGTCTCCTGTTCATAATAACAAAAGATTTAAATATGGGTGGGTGGAAAAATATACATGAATACTGAAAAAAAACCCTAACTGCATTACTCATTCCTTGGAATATTGAAGCCATTTACTTGCTTTAGTCACCAGAGCCAGTATAGAACACTATCACTAAGACACATTGTTACACATGCTTATTAAAGAGCTGTTCAAGTTCAAATACTCTGAAAACCTAAAAACTCATACACTTGGTAAGCATAATGATTTAAGGCACATGATTATGTCTATAGGTATGTTTTAAACCTGTTGATGAGAGGTAGAAGGTTCTGATTTCAAACTCACTTTCAAAACGATTATTTATATTACTGCATTACAGAGAGTAATTGATTTGGAAAATTTTTAGTTTGATTCCAAGATTAAAAGTTTGGTTACAGCAGAAATGTTTTCTTTAGCTCATCAGAGAATTATGCAATAATTAAAAGAGGGACAGAACAAATAACCAGAAGGTTGAAGGAGAATCCAGACAGAACAGCAACAACTTTGTCTCATTTGTACTCTCTCCAAAGACTAAGCCTTGAGTTATTCAAACTGAACAAAATACAAGGCAGTAAATTTATTTCAGATCTCCCCTGCGTAAGACAATAGAGCTCCTGCTCAATACTATATTATATGAATAATACTATGCTTGCCATGCACAGGTTTTCAAATAAAAACAGTATGCTGAGCACGTGAAGCACATTTTGATGACACAAAACACTGGCAAGGGACCAGGAGGCCTCACAGCATCTACAAGAAGGGCACATGTGGCAATACCTAAACAAGCCTTCTTAATGCAACCAAATCTCCAGCTGTGAGCTCCCTGTCTCTTCTCTCAGTGAACAACTTTTTAAACAACCATAACCTTACTTTTTGAAGCAACCAGCCCTGGTCCTGGGAAGCAACCAGAGGCCAGGAATCAAGCCCCAGGCCCAGCATCAGACACTCCGGCTTGCCTCCAGCTTGCTCATCAGCAATCCCATCCTTCCTCCCCAGGCTCCTACCTGCATATCCCACACTGGATTGTGCTCCTGAAGCCAGTGGGTCTATGATTCATTTTTGTCAGTGGGTCTATGATTCATTTTTCAAACTGTATTTTGTGCTCCCAGATGGCCTCACTACCATCCACAAACTCCTTCCAGTAAAGATCTCCTCCCACCCCACCCGAAATCCCACAATTACTCAGTTAACCAAATCAGACACAAAACAGCAGCAGCATTTGTGGCTGGCAGAAAGCCCCTACCCCCCTACTGGGGAAAGCTGCCCTTCACCACCCAGCCCCACTGCCATCCTCCAGCCCTGCTGCCATCACCTGCCCCAGGGCAAAATCTCATGACCTGCGGAAGCTCTTGTTTCCCCTAGGCTAGACTGGGAGTCTTCTGCTGGGGATGACCTGAGAACCAACCAGGGTCAGGGTGGTGGAGGGCAAGCTGTGGTCTCAGTCCCAGCCAAGGAGGCTTCCCCAGTGCAGTGTAGTGAGCAGGGCTGGAAAGACCTTTGTGGTGGGGCCGAGGCAGTAACCCTGGACACTACTGCAAGCCTCACACTCAGGGCCATGCCACCTCATCTCCTGTAATCTATCTGATGTGTGTTCATATCTGTTTGAAGCAAGAAACACTGTGCTATTCAACTTGCACAGGATGGCAACGTGAACATTTGCTTGCTTTCAGGTGGACTTCCTCTGTGCGCATGGTTCAAGGGAAAGCTTGAACATATGCAACACTAAAGCAGGCTAAGTTAGACTGACAAACCCAAGCCATTTTTCTCTTAAGTTTGTGACCCTGAAACTAGTCTTGCTGTTTTAGATAACGTAATACCAACTTTTACAGAAAACCAAAAGAAGCTGTTTTAGGAGGCGTAAGCAGGAAACAAACAAATAGGTAAAGATTCAAAAGTCAACCCCAGAAAACCAATATTGAACAAACTGGGAAATGTGAGACTGAAAAGTAGCTCATTGCTTAAAACAGACGATAAAGGAAAACACGTCTGTATTACCAAAGAAAAATAAGCAAATGAACAGCCTACAAAGTCATGAGTTCATAAAATCAGTTGTTTATGCATCAGAAATAACAGCACATGAAAGCAACCAATAACAGTGGGACAGTGAGGGTACCACTATACATGTTCAAATTAAAGGAAGCGTGAAATGCATCCACAGGACTGCAAGCAACAAGATAAATGACAAGCATTGCCCTGAAAGATAGGGCTGAAAAAGGGCTGATGTGGCAGATTCCCAAGAAGATAACACAACACACCATTTTCCTTCAGGGGACAAGGAGTGGGGGTTTTCTTGACAGTCAGCTGCAAACCCTGCAGAAGGACTTTGTCTGCAACCAGGATGGGAAGGCAGCAGTCAAGAGCATGGAGAAGCACAGCAGAAACAGGAGGGCTGAGGAGAAACTGAAGTACTACCTTAATTCCCTGGGGAAGGTGAGTTGAGTACAGAGAAGCTGAAGCTAGTGCTGGTTTGGCTGCTGCTCAGATGTGCTGAAGGATGTTGGGCTGAGTCCCGGGAGTGTTGGCTGTGTCTCTAATTACTTCTGACAGCAATTTAAAAGCTAGCTGAGATATGCTGTCTCATAGGGCATCATCTCATCATTTAGGTGAGTAGACCATCCACAACTTTGGAATCCTGTCCCAAATACTAGGAGCATTAAGATTCTAAGGGTAATGGTGAGAGTTCTAGCAAGTAATTTATAGAATATCTTTTCCGCTTTGGGCAGTGGCAGCTTTGCTCCACAAGTTATAGAGAATTTGAAAAGAAACAAACAAATTTCGGAGGCGAATGAGTTAACAGTTTTGCCAGGAAATATTTTTGTTGCAACTGGCTGTGCTTGCACAAACCACTTTAAGGAGATGATACTGGTGGAAAGCCATAAAGGTTATTTACATAGATGGAGTTTCATCATCTCCCACTCCAAAGCAGGCTGGATGGTTTATGCTAATGTAATGCTTTCTTTATCATGGCTCGTGTGAAGCTAGGAACACGTTAGGTTGTGTTTTACTTTGCTCTTTCAGTATGCTGCTGGTAGTCCTTGGATACTGGTTTAAATTATGCAGCATGTGCAATATAAAAACAGTTTCAGAAATCTAATATTCAAACAAAACCAAAACATTGCTTGTACCACGAGCTTTATTATGCTCCAACTTAGCAAGAACAAAGCTCTGCAGGAAAAAGATCCCAGCCTTTTTAGGAATATACCCTGTAAAATACTCCAATAAGTTGAAGAGAACAACTTTCAGGTTTGCTCCTAGGAGCTATTTTTTCCATTTCCTTGACAGCCATTCTCAGTCCCCTTCTGGTATGAGAAAGGTGTTTTGGCATTAGCTTAGTTCAACAGTTGGTATTTACTGTTCTGTTCAGGTCAGGAACCAAGATACTTTTTATTTAAAAAGCCTAAGTCTTAAAGCATGTCTACAAGAGCTTGTCAGTTTTCTTTGGCAACAATTTCAAATCCAATGTTGCATCATATTCTGCTGTTAGAACAGACCCACTCTTGCAACACAGCCTGCACCCGAACTGAGATTAAGTACGCATCTTTTTGGATATGACACAGCCTCTGTTTAAAGAAAGAAAGATGGGATTTAATAGTAAAGAACAACCTCATCAAAGCATCTGATACAAGATCTGTGTAGAATTATTCATTTTCTAGGATTGCTTGCACTGGCTGGCATTCTTTTTATCAAATGAAAGACAAACATTTGGTTTTGGTACTTACTGCCTATGTTCAAGTTACTTTTCCTTTAATTTCAAATTAAAGCAGGCAGACATTCCTTATTACAGTTCAAAGAATTCCTCTCTGAGTTCTCTAAGTGAAACTTAAGATGATTTTCATTACCAAATCCTGTATATTTCCATACCCTGCCCTTCTGAGAAAGGATGATCTGTTTAGCATTATGATACTATTTTGAAAATAAAGCCAAATGATTTCTCTCATCCTTGTTTAAGAAATTAAATCCCCATCTTGCAAATAATGTGTTGTCCACCTGGGGATGGTTTTAAGCAAAGGCACCTTACTAAGCATTTTCCACAGCTGTCACTCTGTCAGTATTGTAAACCAACGTAAGGAAAAAGCACAGGCTGAACTTAAAACCGAAGTTTCCCAATTCTGCTGATCCTTCCTCTGATACAAGGTGTGTGCAGCTTGAGCAGCTCATCCGGCCTTTTCTCTTTCACCGCTTGCAAACAGCGATTATCCTGTTTGATACACAAACTGAAAAACGCCTGTGGAAATAGCATCCCTGCAATCACCCACAGAATCGACAAGCTTGAACTTACATATACCCTTCTGCCAAGCCTGAGAGAGGCACAGCCCGGACTCTGCATGCAGCGAGGACCGCAGGTAAAAGGTAGGCCCGGCGAGGCTACGGCGCCTTCCCGTGGGAGCCCAGCTCCTACTGCCGCAGAGGAGCCCGGTCCCGGCGGCTCTGGGTGCGGACAGAGCTGAAGCCCAGTAAGCACCCCCTCATAGCCCTCTACCATAGCAAAGCCTACCCGCGCCCTGAGCACACACATCACACACATCACACACATCACACACATCACACACATCACACACATCACACACATCACACACATCACACACATCACACACATCACACACATCACACACATCACACACATCACACACATCACACACATCACACACATCACACACATCACACACTGCACCACTGCCCAAGTCAGGCCGGACCGACGGCACCCCCCCAAGACTACATTTCCCTGCGGCCCTTTCGTCTAGCCACGCCCACTCCCAGCAGGCCGCGCGGCGCCGCGCACTGCCATTGGTGGGATTTGATAGGAAGGCGCGGCCGTGACGCCTGCGTGGTACCGGTGATGACGGCAAGGGGTTCAAGGGGGCGGAGCGCTGGGCTGCCTTCGTGTGCCTGGAGCTGGCGGCTGCGCCCGCCCAGTGGAGCCTCGGCTCTCAGGCAAGTCGTGCGGGTGGTTCGGCTGCTGGGCTTTCCTTTGAGGAGGAAAGGAGGCCGTGGTCGCGGCCCGCGGGTGGCGGAGCTGGGAAGAAGCAGTGTGGGTGGCCGTCCTGGAGGGTGGCGCTGGGGCCTCTTCTGCTCGTCGTGCCTGGCGCCTGCGGTTGGGAACGGTGCGTGGGAAGTCTTGGGGTGGGGGGAGTCTGAAAACTCGGTACGGCTGCCGGACTTGAAAGCCGCGGGTAATGCTTGGCCCAGGGCCGTGATGCTGACAGGGCAATGTGCCGGTGGCCCATAAAACCGGGAAAATAGTGCAAAGCCTTGAAGTGAAAGGTTGATATTTGCAGAGGGAAAATGGGTTTTGGTTTTGTTTTTTTTTTCATTTGTTTTCATGTAACACCTGATGTCAAGCTGCCGGTCTGTGTGGAGCCTTTTCTATCCTTTCTTGGGCTGCTTAACAGAACTACGCAGCCTGTGGGTGTGTACTGTGACTGCAGTTTGCTGTGTGTGCCTTTCTGGATCCCTTTCTGCTAGGGCCCCTGCAGCTCTAAACTCTACTGTCACTATAAGCAGAGTTACAATAACATATCCCAGTATGTAAGCACGCTTCGGTGTCTACTGCCAGGTAGTATACCTGTTCACATAAGAATACCTATGGTAATTACTGTGCTGTATGACATGCTGTGGAGATGGACAGTCTGCATCTTGGGTTTTCCATGTTGTCTGGCTGAACTTTACTGGTTTTAGTGCTGAGCTCATATGAGCACTTGGAGTTCCAGTTTTGCAAACATAGCTTAATGTTTTTTGAATTGCATAAAAAGGTACAGAATAAGAACATAATCTTCACAAATCACATTTTAAGTTTCTATTGAAAGCAATTAATGTGTCAGTTATCTAACAAATATTTTTCCTGTCAAGTCCTGATAAGAGTTTTACTGTGTGACTTTCTGTATCTGATCAGTAAGACTTCTAGATGGTGATAGCACAGGTATGTTTGTTTCCTGTAGTAGTTTAGTTACAGGTCAGTGTTTGTTCAAGCTGTGATAGTATTTCAGGGCATGTTTTCCTCGCTTTCATACCAGGCCTGACAAAATAAAACTATATATTAGGAGGACCAAAGTAAATGTTGCTGCTTAGTTTATCCATAACTCTACCTCATTTGTAGCTTGGTGACGTTTGCCTAACTTAATGAAGTTCTGTGTCTGCCTTTTACAGGCTGGGTAGAAAGACGAAGCCTCAAAGTGGTTTGGCTCTGAAGTGCAGATGTGTTTCAGGTTTTATGCTGGGGGGAGCAAAAAAGTTGCAACTGCTTTATAGGCACTCCTCTTCCTGAGCAAAGGGGCTTTGAACCAGCTCTGATCTGTCCATTGCTTTAATGAGCACTGCATGTGCATTTCAGAACTAGGAGGTCATGTAGTAGGTGTCCAATTGCTACAATGCTTGCTGCCATCCTCTATGAGCAATTGCCCAATGAGTTAGTTATTTTAAACTCAATCCATAATTAAAGCTGACAAGTCACATCTGTAACTCCACAGGAAAAAGCAGTAGGAGAGTAAAATGCCAACGAAATACACTAATATTTTTAAATGCACTTTAAAAAAGTTACTTTGAAATTTACCTGTCTACTCAACATTGAATTAATTTATTTCATTTTCAATAGCAAATTTTCACTTCCCAGGTTCTGGGATGGACAGAAGTCTTTAAATTGTGGGTTTATAAATGAATTGTTGATGTGTAAAATGGTTGAAAAATGCTAAAAGGCAATACTTATACTACTTATACTGTGGCATCGGGTCTTCTAATTTTCTAGTGTCCCCTTAATAGCTAAAGGTATTTTCCTGCGTTTAGCAGTAGCAGTCGTTTTTCTCTTTCTTGGTAGCTGGTGCAGTGCTGTGTTTTGACGTTTGGCCTGGGAACAGAGCTGAAAACAATGATGTTCTGGTTTGGCCAAGGGCTTTGCGAGCCTCATGCTCTGCCGGGGAGGAGGGAAACTGGGAGGAAGCAGAGACAGGACACCTGACCCAAACTGACCAAAGAGGTATTCCATACCACAGCACGTCATGCCCAGGAGGTAACAGAGAGTTACCCAGAAGGGCTAAGGACGGCAGGGTTGGAGGAGGTATCGGTCGGTGCTTCGCTGGGCTGGGGGGATGCATTGTCGGTCGCCTGGTGATGAGATGTTGTTTTCTCTTCCCTTGTTATTTCCTTTATCATTAGTATTGGTGGTAGCAGTAGTGAGCTGTGTTTTACCTTGGTTACTAAACTGTTCTTATCTCAACCCATGGGAGTTGCATTCTTTCTGATTCTCCTCTCCGTCCCTCCAGGAGTAGGGGGAGGGCAAGAAGGGGGGAAGTGTGAGGATGGAGGCACGGACCCAGAGGTAGAGTGCAAGCTGGATCGTTTATTGCAAAGATTACACGTTATTTATACACTTTCAAGCAATTAGCCAAGCACATCTGTGGCTGCCTTGTGGTTACATCAGGTGAAAGGTCCATCTGATTTTCTTATTGACATCCTCTTCCCAGTTCCAACATCCTTGTTCCTTGCCAGTTCCAATATCTTCCAAGTACCAGTCAGGGACAGGTCGCTCTTAATTGCCTTCTACGGATCCTCCTTTCCATGGTCATTCTTAATTGCCTGCTGTAGCTTCCCCTTCCCGTGGTCTCTGGCAGTTTCGATACATTCCAACCCCCACAGGGGACTGAGTGAAAAAGCTGTCTGGCTGGGGTTAAACCACAACAGGTATTTTTTTTAGTCTCTGGATTTTATCAGGTCCTGCAGAGCTATCCACGAATTTTGGTTACTCGTGCAATGAGTATTCGAAATGGATGCTATCATGGGATCATGGACAAGTGGATGTGGAGCAATATAATTTGTTTGGTGGGTTTTTTTATTTTATCTTCCTTCTCAGATATGTTTTTTAGCAATGTTGTGGTATATATGTAAGGCTTTTCCTGGTAAGCAGTTGCTTTTCATTAAAAGAAGAATGGAAGAATGGCTGCTCTTGTTTCATCATGGGGCTAACCCCTCTGCAGACCCTCTCCCCAGCTATCAGAAACTGGCTATGTAAATTATACATAGAACAAAGAAACCTTTCTCCTTGGAGAAATTGAACCTTACTGGTTTCAAATTGTATTCTAAGGGACTGCACAAGCTCTACCTTGTATGATCAGAGAGCAAAAAATAGTTGTGTTTTATCTTGCAGGATGGAACTAATGCTGGATAATGAGTGACTTCAGATGCTCCTATACTACTAGTATTGAGCCACCTGAAAGAACAGGACCAGCATACATGGAAGATATTAAAGCAGATCTCTCTACTAAATTTTCTTTGGTTTCTTCATGCTCAGATACAAGCCAGGTAAGAAAACTTTGATGCTTGCATTTGGCTATCTTTTTAAAGGAGTTTAGACCTTTCATTTATAACAGTAATCAGAACTCTACATAGAAGATGAAAAGCATCTTTAGTATGTCTTGAATTTGGAGAAGATGCATAGGATTAGACTAAGTATTGTGGCACTGCACTGGTACCTTGCAGCGTGCACCAGTCTTCTATGAATGAGGCTAATTGCCAGTTTAGAGCAGCTTAATCATGGAATGTTTTTGTGGGTTTCTTTCTTGATATCTGGTTGGCCTGTATGTAGCCTATATACATGTGCTGCTAGATTAATAACTGTAAGTTATGACAGTGACATTCTGCAGGGGCCTAAGCACTTGTAAAAACTGATGTAATTAATTACTTGTGCTTCCCATGTCTTCAAATAAGTCTGTTCAGAATAGCCCGTTGAAAACAAAATTGCCTTAACATGCTACTTACCAAAGAATCTTAACAAATTTCTAACTTTTTTTTTTTTTTTTTTTACTTAAGAAGAGCAGTTTGGAGTCTAAGGGACACATAGAAGTTTGTCTGCGTATTAGGCCATTTACATCATTGGAAAGAGAGAATGAATTCCAGGTGTGAAATTTAATTAGTTTAAAAATACCTTAAATGTGTAGGGTGGTTTTTTTCCCCTCTAAGTTCAGCTTTCTATGTTCTTTTCATGCCTGCATTGATTATGTTTCCTTTTAATAGGACTGTGTTTCACTTGAAGACTCAAGAAGCGTCATCCTGAAGGCCCCCCAAAACTCTTTGAGTCGACTAAGTGAAAAGAATGCTGGACAGATGATACAGAAGTTCACTTTTTCAAGAGTAAGTAAATTGTCTTTAAATGTTTTTAATTTATTCATGAAAAAACTTGGTTCAAATTATTTAGTACTAAGCAAACTGGATTTTTAAACTGTCAATAGTCTTTAAGTTTACAAATATATAATATTTAAAAGATTCTTTAGAAGCCTCTAACGATTGCTTTACCAAGAGATGTCTTTATTTTATTTATGCTCAGGTGTTTGGACCTGAAACAACTCAAGAAGTCTTTGAAGGTGCCATGAGGCAACCTGTGCAGGATTTCTTAGATGGATATAATTGCCTTATTTTTACATATGGTGTTACAAATGCTGGGAAAACCTACACATTCTGAGGTATAAGCAGATGTGAGTTCTCCTTGAATGAAATTTCTTTCTTGAGTGCTCATTGCTTCTAGCAGAAATATTATAGCTTTTTACTTTATTTAAAGTGTAGGTCCTAGACATTGGCTTATCTTGAATATTAATAAATAGCCTTTGCAAGCCCCCTTCCATTACAAATATCGCTAAGCTGCCAACAGATGGAGTCCCTCCCAGAGTTAAAGTAAGCATATAGTGATTTGTAAGGTTAGAATAATTTCAACCAGTTGTTTGAGTTTTCTTTTCCCTTTGAAGTATCTAGAATGTCAGGGAGGAGAGGGAGTTAGGAAAACATAGCTTCTGTGTACCAGGATATGAAAGGTATGTAAGTTAGTCTACACTAGACTAGTGTTTGGGTTTTTGTGTCTTTTTTTAAGACTCTTTATTGTTTGCCAGTGAGTGTTACTTTGTTCATGTTAAGTTGACTAACAAATGACATCACAATAAACAAGAAATGATTAGAGGAGAGAGACAATGATGAGAAATAAACGTAAGGCAACAGTACTTTAATTTCCTATGTTATTTAGTTCTTGGCTTGGTTTTTAAGTGCTACCTAGATTTTTACATCAGTTATGATTTATGTGGTGCAGCTAGTGCTGTAACTCTTAGAAGCCCATCTGTCTCAAGAGTAGCAGAAACTATCAGAGGCTGGAAGATAATGCTGTCGGAGTCTGAGACAGAACAGTAGTTTCTCTTCTAGTCTATCACATCCTCTCTGGTTTAGAAATCAGTTAAGTGAACCCTTCTTAAACTTGCATCTGGATTCAGAAAAATCCAATGTGCACAAAATCTTCTATTTGACTCCTTTTTGCCTTTCAGGAGCTAAAGTAGTATGCTCTGAGAAAAGGGTCTGGGGTAGGGAAAGGCCTGTGTCTTTCCACAAGGTTTCTAGTACTTCTTTTGTCAGGTCTGTGGAATTAGTACAGGGCAACAGCTGAGAGATCAGTAATGACTTGTATTTCAGGATTACTTCCTTGAGAGAGTGAGTGAAGACAGCCTATGAAATGTGATTTCAAAAACTGCAGTTCTCTAAGTGTCTTGTTGGTTGTAGTATTTTTGTTTGGGTTGTTTTTTTTCCTTTAAGGCTAAGCTTATGAGAATACCCCAGCAGTTTTTTGTTGTATGTTTTACCCCTTATTGTCAGAAGTATAGAGCATAAGCACTTGCTGAAAGCCGAATACTTTCAAAAAAATTAATGATGTTTCTGTTCTATTGAGAAAACAAATGAACAACCAAAACCCTACTGCTTGATGCTGTAAGTGGCCTCCAAATTCCTCATGTATCCCTTGAGATTAAGATTTCTTATTTTTGTCTTCATTTATCTGTTTATCTTGGTCCCAGTAATAATTAGGATCTTTCTTTTGTATGTTGCCTTCAGGGACAGAAGATGATGTTGGTATTCTGCCAAGGACTATGGATATGTTGTTTAAAAGCATTCGAGGAAAGTTATACACAGCAATGGATCTCAAACCCCATTGTTGTAGAGATTATATAAAGCTGACTGAAGACCAAGTGAGAGAAGAAATTGCTATTAAAAATTCAATACTTCGCCTAACAAAAGAGGTAAAGAATCACTTCTTCCTATACTGAAGAGTATGCACATCTTTGGATAGCTCAGTGTTACCCTGTTCATTTCTCAATAGAAATACATTGTATTTAAGCATGGACATATCTATTTGCTGTCAGCCAGCTATTCGGATGAGCAGTAAAGTGGGCAGTAGAGCTGATGAACCCTGTTTTCCTGTGGGTTTCTGTCTTGTAGCTGAATACTTGGTAGGATGTAAACTTAAGGGTGTGTTTTCCTGTAGCTTGGGCACCTGACAATTTATCCTCTAGGGCTGCTGATGCTTAAGAAGGACTGAACACTAATAGTATCCCCATCTGTGGAGATGCTGCTAGGTCTGCTCCTTTAAAGAATTACTGTCTTTCAGGGTACTTGACTGAAATTAATGATTTTGAGGTTGTTCCCCCTTTGTTTGGCAAGTATCCTCAAAAGAAGCAATTTTTATTTATTTATTTTTTTTTTTAACAGCAGAGCTATAAAGCCAGTGGACTTCTAAAGATTTGAATTAAAATGGGTTTCTGCTGGGCTTCCTTCTTAAACAGATCACTGTTGAATAGTCCAGAAATACACCTCAGTTTCATGAGCTGCCTGGAATCCTGAAGCTGTTTAGTCTCATTACAGTTATAGGGGATTTGTATTTTATGTAAGGATACCCTTTGTCTTGATGTTTTTAATTCTGAAATGAATGGAATAAGAAACCTGAGTGTATGCTGGCAATTTGAACTAGGAAGGGATTATTGTGGTTTTTTATTTTTTTTAATCTTTAATGAAAATGCTTAATTTATCTCCCTAGTGGTATGCCGGGGTATAATGAAGTATTCTGGCTGTTGTGTCTTGGAATGTATGGGACTTTTTTTTTTTTTTTTTTAATCTTAGTTAACTGGACTTTTCCAGTGGCAAAGTTTGTATCTATATTAAGAGGCAGATTTTTATGGGCATTTTTAATGTATAAAGCTCAAACCTAAAAGTTTTGATTACCTAACTATTTAACTATTTCAGGAATATCTTTATAGAATTCCAGCTTTAAGTGAAATATAACCTTGACAAAACATTAAAAAACCCAAACAAACCAACCAAAAAAACCCTAACACACAAACAAAACCAAACTGACTTAAACCACACCTGTTTCCCTCTCTCTTAGGCAGTTCTGTTTCTAAACAAAAATCATTCAACCAAAACTAAAACTGGGAATGGAGTACATGTGTATGAACCTCATAAGCTCTGATTTGTTCTTTGATCTTTTCTAGACTTGTGGTTTTCTTTTACTGAACAGCACAGAAGATTTTTGTTCTCTTCCTAAGACCTAGACTTTATTACAGGCTGTAGAAACCTTTCACAGTTGAATCACAAAGCAATAAATTGCTCACTTAACTTCTTAAGTGAATATATGTTCTACACTTACCTGTTTCTGAGAGCTGACCTAATAAACTGCAAGATAAGGAATTCTGGATTAGCAAAATGCCAATAATAAAAAAAATCAGGACTCTACATTTGCTGTGATAAGAGTAATGTGTAAACTGCAACTGGACTCCTGCAAATCATCCTGTTTAAATAACCCTGTTTCTGTGCGGGCTCTCACTTCTCTCTCTTTTTCTCTGGCTCATTTTCTTCTGGTTCAGCAAGCTGAAGTGCTGTATGCTGTGATAAGGCCCTACATAACGGAGGTGTCAGGAATGAGTATTAAAGTAAGAACAATCCTTTTAACAGGAGTCTACTGGTGCACTAGGCATAATATGTAGGCAGAGTCTTTGTACTGGCATATTACAGCTGTGCTGCATTCTTATCTAGTAGGACAATAGAGCTACTACAGGAGTACCTGGTGGTGTAGTCAACAATGCATCTTCAAGTCTGTTCTCTTTTATAGGTAGACCATCGAAATAGCACCACCAACAAAGCACCGGCTGATTCTAAGGGTATGTTTAATATTAAGGAATTGTAATCGAAGCTCACAAAGAAGTTTTCTTCAGGTCAATAACTGACTTATGGCCTATGTTAATAACAAAATGACGACTTGACATTTTTATATGCCTGTGAATTGGGTAGTAAGCAAGTTATCTGTGCAGAAAACAGTACTACTTATTCTGTGGGCCCTAATGGTGTCCTGACAGGCTTTTAGAGTAACTGTATGTAATCTAATTCTTGCACTTAAAAACTACCCAGGTTTGCTTTAAAAAGTCAGAATGAAGTGTACTTGTTGATTTAATTCAATCTTCTAAAGATACTGGAGAGACTTGAATAATTCCAGGCAAGCTGTGTGTGTTTGAAAGAATTTGCAAGTGGAAAAGGAAGTGGTAGAGTGTCTCTGGCAATTATGTAGGGTAAACGTGTGATGCTTAATAAAGGGGGAGGGGATCTCAGTTGTTTTTGTCTACGACACATGTTCTAGAAGGCTCAGTTTTCACTTACTAATTTTTTAAAATGAAATTCACTTTACTAGGCCTATATTGACTTGTAATACTTTGTTCTTGCCAGATTTGGAACAGCTCTTAAAAGACTCGGAACAGTCTAGCCCAACTGTGAAAAATGACGTGGTTTTCTGTTTGGGTTTCAGTTTTTGAGATTTACAATGAATGTTTTTATGATCTCCTGATTCCTGTATCAAATGACAAGAAAAGAAGGACTCTACGCCTTGCTCAAGACATCAAGGGTTGTTCGTATGTAAAAAGTGATTGGAATACATTGCAAATTGCCAAACAGTATTACTCCTGGTGTGCATATGTTATCTCTGAAGCCCTTCTTACTTTTTGTTGATATTTACAAATTTATCATGTTTGTTCTTCCTAAAGGTCTGCAGGGGGTACAGATTTCTGATTCTAGAGAAGCTTTTTGACTTGTAAAACTGGGTTGAAACAGCAGAGTACTGCAAGCACGAAACTAAATGCTAACTCCAGCAGGAGATGAGAAACATTGAATAACACTGGGCATAGGATGGTGTGTGGGGCAGAGCATGCAACAAAAATATGGCTTGAAGGTCTAGGGAAGAAGCTTTAAGAAGGTCTAGATATCTAGGCTTAGGAAGAAGGTCTAGATATCCCTATTTAGGGTTTGGCATCCTTTATCAGTGCTTTGAGCCAAAAGGATTCAATCCTTCAATAAGATGAACATGTACTAAACCTAACAGTGTTCTATCAAATAGTCTCCTTCAGGCAAAAGCACTTGGCTCTTATTCTACCTAAATGTCTGAGGAAAAAAGGAAAATAAGTGCTACGTAAGTATCTCTTCGAAAGTTTGTATCTGGTGGGGTATATGCATAGATATGTTGGCAGATGCAACAGTGTTTTAAACAGATGTGGTGGAGGCTAAAAATATTTTTACTTCTCTACTGATTTAAATTTCTTTTAGTCACAGCATATTCACAGTTAAAGTATTGAAAATTGAAGATTCAGGAGCACTGCAGGTGATTCGAGTCAATGAGTCTAAGTTCAGAGCTGAGTCTCCCTCTTTTATGATGTTGTCAGTTATCTTACACGTTGATGTGCTGGTACTGCACTGTACACCCAGAACTCTCTGGTAGAGCCTCATGCACGTACAGTTTTCCCCACTTTCTAAATTCATATGGTACTTGGTCCTCTACCTCAAGCCATCAGGTGGCAGTGCTGTTTTGTATCTTGTACCCTCTATTCAACACAGGGTTCAGTTAGCCTGCTGTACTCCTGAACTCATGTAAGTCCTCAGAAGGAACTGGGGGGGGAAGGGGAAACCTGTTGGGAAAGAGTTTGGCAGGCAGTAGTGTGAAACTTGTTTAGGGAAGCAGCAAGAAATTCTTTATCTAAGGAAAGTGTTTTTAAAAGCATGTAATTTCTTCATGCTCAAAGGTGGATAAAGTGGATTTCTTTATCTGCTTTCAGATTGTCATTGTGTGATCTTGCTGGTTCAGAAAGATGTACCAAGACCCGTAATGAAGGGGATAGATTGAAAGAGAGTAGAAATATAAACACCTCCCTCCTGATTCTAGGCAAGTGTATTAACTCACTCAAGAACTGTCAACAGTCAAAGTAAGTCCTCTTACGAACTGCGGACTGGTTGTGGATTTTAAATATTGCCTAGAACATTTAAAAGCTATTGTTTAAAATAGGCAATGCTCTCACTAAGGTTTTGGTAGAAAAGATATGTAGACTTGTAAAGTCTATATTGTAAAGTTGTGTTGATCTAGGAAAGCTATTGTTAAACTTGCTTTGTTTTGTTCCTTATATCATTCAAATTCTGACATCCTTTAGATATGCTGTTATGGATTTTATCAAATTAAGTTGCTTCTGAGCTTGGCTTATGCAACAAACTTTGCAAAAGAGTTTTTTAAACTTGTGTTAGAGTCAGATTTTCAGCCTTCTATTATTCCTTAGAGCTAACTCTATTTTCTGTGTGCTTCTGTTGGCAGCTGCTTGCAAGCTGTTAGTCTATTTAGAATGTGGTTTGTTTTTCTTTCTTAACTCTGAATTTTAATAATATAGAAGAAATACTCTAAAGCATGATCTCTTAAAATGTTAATATGTGCCCCTTTGCAAGCTGGATTGGAAGCAGTAACTTTCTTAAAGGAGTTTTGTTTCAGTCCTGCAGCAAAGCTACTTATGAGCTGTACATGTATTCTGGCAGGAGTGTCACTATCTTGAGTTCTACATTACTGTTCATATAACTGTGAATAGCTGTTGTGTGTCCAAAATGCAGGCAACTTATTCGGTGGCAAGTGTCTTTAGTCATATATTAGGAATTCTCATAAAAATTCTTACCATAAAAAAACTCCATCACCAGCTGTTATGTTCAGGGTCACAGCTTTTGATTTTTGGAAATGCTGAACTGCTGGGGATTAGGAAAAGTTCTGAAAAGTATCTCCATGTGCTTGATGTATACTTGTTTTCTTGCAATTGTCTGTTTTCAGAGACAGGATACTGAGTAAGAGGTCTCTGGTAGTGTTGGATACTGCATGACTAGAACTAAGTATATGCTTTCCATGAACGTGGAAAGGAAAAGAGGTGGACTATAGCTTGAGGTAGCATGAGGTCATGTGACCTACATTGTGATATGTGTTGAGCATGCTGTTGGTTTCAGTGTTCCCTCCAAATGTATTGCTATAGCTGATCTGAGACAATGGCTAAAGCAGCAGTTCACATCAGCCGCACAATCTTTTCACAAATAGCTGTATCTAGTCCAAAATAACCTTAATTGATTTAAAGACTACTTTTATAAATACTGAAGTGTTTGGGTTACACTGCATAGCTCTGACACTAACTGGAAATTATTAACTTTCTGGTCATCTGTTCTTTTGTCTTCGAAGGTAACCCGCCTGGACACGTTCCTGTGTAACCTTATCTAGGTGTTCCTGCTCCGGCAGGGGGATTGGACTAGATGATCTTTTGAGGTCCCTTCCAATCTCTAACATACTGTGATACTGTGATACAGCAGCACATACCCTTTCAGGAAAGTAAGTTAACTCACTACTTCCAAGGATCCTTCAGTGGAAAGAGGAAGATCTGTATGAAAGTAAATATAAGCCAGTGTGCGTCAGCATATGATGAAACACTCAGTGTGCTAAAGTTCTCAGCCACTGCACAAAAAGTAAGTGTGTAGTATTTCATCTTGTGTTCAGTACTTCTGATTTGCATTTAAAGGGCAGGTGTTCTCACTTGTAAGAATAAACTTAGTTGCTGGATTTTTGTCTCATTGCAATCATATCTTCTAATTACTCTTAGTCAGGCTTTACCACTTTGCTGAAATTCTGCAATTCCTACAAAATGTCCAGCCTAACAAGACACTTGCTGTATTGGGAAGAAATTCCCTGAGAGCTAGGTAGACTTTTTTCTGTGGTCATGATATGCTCCCTCTTAGGAGCAATTCTAGCTCCCCATGTCCTACTGCCGTCTTAATTTGAATATTGCTCACCTGAAATATTGATAAAATAGGTTGAGCACCAGAGTTTGAAAGGTCATCTTTGTGTCCATAGAGGTTTCAGTGGGCCGGTTGAGGGAGGTCCAGGCCTTTGGCATGTGGGCTTGTCTAAGCAGGTTAAGTACAACGTCAGAAGGAGCAGACTGTAGGGGTGATACAGCTGTTTAAAAAATAGAATTTGTAGGATGACATTTATGTAATGCAACTAGAAACCCCAAGTATAGGAAAAATAAATATGTTGGTGTGTGGGTTGGCAACCCTCTTGTAGGTTGTTCAGCTTGTGAAACTTGGTGTTCCTAGGATCAAAAGAAGGGTTAGATTATAAAGTGACTTTTTGGTACCCTAGCTGGGAACTGGTCTAAGTAGTGACTCTGAACAGAGGATAGTCTCGGGAGGCCTATAGGAAAGTGCCAGTAAAGGTTTAATAAATTACTGGTGGCTTTGTTCTTTATTTTCTGGGTAGGTCTTTGTTCTGGATGCATCTGTTCTTCCTCAAGTTCAGTCATTTGGCCAGAAATCAGCAAAAGAATCATCACTGCTTGACACTAAAATGCCAGTCCCAAGGAAAAGAACTACTGGCTTAACCATTTCAGAAAATTGAATTTTTCTGTAAGGAATTGATGCTTGCTTGAATGGTAGCAGGTGAGTTGGCATTGAAAGGAAAGTTACAGCGAAATGTGTGCGGGGGTGGGGGGTGCGGAGAAATGGAATTTTCAGAAGCAGTGATCTGGAGTTACTGGGCAACTGGAGGTGAGACTTTGAAAAGGCACTCTAAGGAAAAGGGGGTGGGGGTGGGGAAACTAAACTCAAAGTGGGAGGACTTAAATAGTAGGAATAGAGGGATTATGTCACTGTCCTTACATTTGCCTGACTGGAAGAGGAAGAAAAGGAGGTTTTGTTGCAGTAGAAAGTCAAATTTTATTTAACAAAAGGTTAATAATGTGAGAAGGGTAGCGATTGCATAAATTAGTAAGAAAAATCAGTGTTTCTCCCACCACCACCTCCACCATGCACACACCCTTTTAAAGGGAGGGCATATGAATATATTGAACAGAGTTTTACCTGGGAGTGGTTGGCCAGGGTATCTCTGCTTTTGATGTGATTAATAAAGCTTACAACTGCCTAGTCTACTACCACCTGCTGAATATCAAGACTAGCTTGGCTAAATGTATACTGGTTTAAAAAAAAAAAAAAACACAACAAAACATCAGAATCTGCATTTAGGGTTGGTTTGTTTTTTGGTTTTGGTTTTGGTTTGGTTTTTTTTGAGCATGATGTCCAGTAACCTGAAGTAGTTCTGAGAACCCTTCAAATTAAACTTAGCTGGGGCTCTGACCCATTTCTCTCTTTCACTATAAACTTAAGGCTTTGATATACTTAATCTTCTGCTCCCTTTATTGTCCCACAGCAACTCAGCTATTCAAAAGTGTGAATGTTCTGAGTGTAAGAGTTTTGATGACTCTAATCTGTCCAGTGTTTCTGGAGAGTGTGTGGTGCGAAACTTAAAACGGCCACAAACCTCAGCCTGACTAGATTTCCTTTTTTTTTTTTTTTTGTGGAAGTACTTTAAGATGAATAATTGGTCCTTGGTAACCAGCATGGCTTGTTACTTCTGTCATCTTGAGAGTAAAACTTCATTCTTAATCAAACATGCAGTCTAACTGGGCTTTTAAGTTACTTCCAAGTATGACAAGGAAGTGATGAATTTACAGAGCTGACTATTTGCTGTTTGTACAAATTAGGAATTCAACTCTTTTGACACTGGACACTGCTTTAGATGGGAAGGAAACTCCTCTTACATGCAAGTTTTGCATTCTGTAGTTTACTAGTTTCTTGTTATGCTTCTGTACTTCAGACAAGCACAATGCTTTGCCCTGTATCTGAAAGCCACCTGCTTTTGATTTAAGTAACTGATCTATAACTGATTTGTTCCTCTTACAACCCCTAAACATATTAGATAATTTTGTAAAAATACTTGGTTATAAAAGATTAATAAGCTTTTTAAGTGCTCACTTTTTAAAACCTAAAAGTAATTGATCTTATTTTAACACAGGACAACGCTGTAACTATCCTTAAAAGAATGGCAGAAAAGAACTCTAACCAGGTGATCGAAAGCAGTCAGTTCAAGGATTGTGAAGATACTGTACTGGGAGTGGGAAGAAAACGCTGCTTTGAAAATAGGCCTACTGTGGAAGAAGAGCCACCTACAAAGAAAGGTACAATTTCTATCATCACTCAAGAGGGGGCCTCCCCAAAAAACTTGATTAATATTCCAGAACAGAAACTAAAAGTTGTGAAGCGTAAACATTGCGTTATGAAGAGAAGACCTACTATGTTAAACTGTAAATGGAAGTAACTTGTGTAAATTTCATCTGTCTTGCAGCAGATCCTATACAGTGCACTCCTAAATGTTTAAAATAAAAGTTAGTTTTTAGACTTGCTCTTTTTCTCATCTTTTTATGGACTTGCACACTCAGCTGTAGTTCTTCAGAAATTTCTTAACATCTGGTTTTGTACAAAACTTGCTGTTGATGGACTTCTGGGAAAGCAGCAGCTCCCACTCAAGTTGTTTTAAAATATTCTAAGCAATCATCAAAGGGGTCTGTCAATGACTGTTTTCAGTCATACAGCACGTGCTGTTAAACCTTGCTTCGTTCTGAATGCGTGCTGTGAACACACCAGCTTTCGTCACCGTGACAGTGCTGGCAAAGTAGAGAAACTTTCTGTTTGAATGGAAGTAAAATTATTTCAAGTCCGCAGATAGCATATTTTGTGCAGCTCACGTTTGCACTTTAATCTTTTTGCTTTCCTTCCTTCATCTGTGAGCTTACTAGTTCTCTTAGAATGAGGTGAATAAACTAGCTACAGTGGAAGACCTTCAAGGGTAAGTGTGAAACTTAAAAGGACACTGCACTTAAATTATCTATTTCATTAAGGTCTATTAATCAGTGAGATTTGAGCTATGGGACAGATCTTGTACAAATGGTATATGTAAGATCTGCCTGCATCTGAGTGACTTGATGACAGAGCTGGCCTTCAGTTTCTCAGAATTATGGCAAAGTACATACAAAAGCAGAATGAAGTGTCTTCCCTTTGTGTCCCTTACTTTCTTGCCTTCCTCCTGCAGAATAGATGCAAGCAAGAAAATGTTCTAGGCAAGGATAGGATAGAAAAATAGAAATAAGATTTAAAAAAATGGGAAGCAGGAAACATTTATGTCCATAAAAGAGGAGATAAAACATGCTAAAAGGAGACTTGTTAAATTCAAATGCTCACAGAAAACTCTGGCTACAGATAGTGAGTAAACCAAATGCTGGACTGTCATGTATCACACCCTACAGTGAAAGAACAAGGGAACACTAGATTGAGTAGAAGATCGGTTTAAGTTTATGGAAAAAAGCATTTCATGCAGTGGGTAATGAACTTCTAGTATTTCCTGCCCTAGAAGGTAGGAGAGGCAGATGATTCTCAGATTCCAGGAATGATTAGACAAGCTAGCAGCCAATAGGTCCACACACAGACACTGAAATGGTTAAGCAGAGTTACACTGTCCCATATTCTTCCAATGCTCCCAATTGTTCTGTATAAGGGAAAGTCTGTAGGAAGTGTCTGGACCTAACAACAGTAGAAAAAGGCGGTAAAATACTAGGCTATGTCAACTGATGGTGTGTGATGCAGTGGGGCATTTGTCATTTGAAGTCTCTTTTATTTGAAGACGTATAAACGTCGCACTTATGGAAAGCTTCTGTCTCTGTACCAGATGCATGTCTCATTCAGCTCTGCTGTCTTTGATTAGGATGAATATTAGATCATAGCATGGCCATTAGATGGTGCCACCTATATAAGGGTGGGAAAAGCTCATCTAGACTTATTGATATACTAGACAGTAGTAGTTTTGTTATCTCATGACCGAAGCTCATCTAAACAACAATAGAAAAGGGATAGTACTCAAACAAAAAATTGACCATCAGTGCCAATTAATATAAGCACTGAGATTTTTTTTCTGTTGGGAAGAGCAGGCTATTCAGTAGTGTTAAATATGTATCTTTTGTGGGTGTTGAGTATAGAAGGCATCTGGTTTTAAAACTGAGTTGTTTGAAGCTCCAAAATGATGACTTTTATTAATATATGCTTACGTTTAACCATTCTTGTTAAATGTGCAATAGAACAATTTGTGCACTGTGATCATTTTCTCATAGTATTTAGATATACTAATGGCCTAAGACTGAAGTTTACTTTGGGAGTAGATAAGTTTTATCTTGTCTTGAACTTTCTGGTTTTGTACTCTTCTTTAAAACTTGCCTTCTATATTTTGGGGTGGGGCTTTTTCTTTTTAAGTACTTCCTACATAAAAACCTTCTGGAGTAAATATTGTGTTTTCTTGCGCTAGTATTTTACTTTGCTTGCATGGTTGTGATTGTCAGTACCATGCATCTAAATAATTTCTAAATCTTACTGTGAATGATCATACCCTACTCACTGTAGGTGTTGGGCTATGATGTGCCTTTTTTTTCATCTTGCAGCCTTACATCACAAAATGTATCTTAAGGTACCTTGGCACCTTTCCCTTTTAATGTGAACTGTGTAAAACTCATGTCCAGTGTGAAAATATGTAGCGTTTGGATAGGGAGAAAATTATCTCCCTACCTAGAATTTTTCATCTTGTAGGATTCAAAAACATGGCTTTACAAGCCAAAGTAAAGCTGCTGTTGTGTCTGACCTAGCAGGAGCACTTGATATATGTCTAACTAGAACAGAAATTTACAGAAAAGCAGGAAGGAAAAATGTCCTGTGGAATTTGATCCCTCGAAAAATAATAAACCCAACAAAGTGAAATCAGAACCTCATTTGAGATGGAGAACACTGTTGCTAATGTTTCAGTATCACTTATTGTTACTAACTCTATAAAACTTGTTGGATCTGTTTGGAGGATGCTTCTGTGCGGTGCCTATTTACTTAATCCTTCCAAAGTAAGATGACAGCCAAATTCCACCTTGCTGTAGTTAACAGTACTTGCAAGAATCCTCTGTCAGGCTTGATTTTAACACTAAAACATAGAATGTATGCTACTAATTAGACACTGCTGGATTCTAAAATGCTTGTGTGAAGCATAGCTGGAGTCAGTTTTGAAGGTGGTGAAATGTTGTTATTTTAGTTAGAATTTCTCATTACTTGGGGGGGGGCAGGGAACTGGCTGAAGCTAATAAAATATTTATGAAAACTTGTGGTTGGGGTGGAACATTTCACCCATCTTTCTGGGAGAACTTTACGTGCAACATATTAAGTGCATGTGTAAATAGTTATATGTCGTTTAGAAACCAATTGAAAAGAAAGCCCCAACACTAAGCAAAACCAACTCATGCTGGATTTTTAGCTTAACTTTTAAAGTTAAGAGGATAGCAAGTATGAGTGAAACTTCTCAGAAATGTATATGACATAGCTCTTCTAAACATGGTATGAGTGGTTGCTGGTTGTATTAACGACATTGTTGAACGGGCGAAGGTGAAAACTAGATATGCCTGTGAATGGTATGTAGCTCACAGATCTCACTGCATATTAGTAAAACTAGAAAGGCCTTTCTACTAGTGGTGCAGAGTAGGAGGCTGGAATAGAACCGTTGGAAAAGTATTAAGATTTCTCCTGCTGCAAACTTTCTAGAAGCCTAACAGGCACCTATTGCATTTTAAATTAATCAGAGGGCTTTAACTACTTCAAGACAAAAATGTCCAATGATATGGGTAGATGCTCTCTCCCTGGCAATGTTCAAAGCCAGGTTGAACAGTCTGGGGTGATAGGGTCTAGGGTGAGGTGTCCCTGCCCATGGCAGGGGGGTTGGAACTAGATGATCTTAAGGTCCTTTCCAATCTTAACCATTCTATAAGGGTGTGGCTTTCAGATGGTGACTGCATTCTGTATAGTAATTGCCATCTGGTATTGCTAGTGACTTGTACTATCTGTTTTAACCAGCCTGACCTGTATGTTGTTTTTCTTGTTTAGGAGATACAAAGGAGAGTTGGGAATATGACACTCTAGAGCAAAGGGAACTGAATATTTGAAAACAAGTACTTCTGAGAACCTTGCAGAAATATTAGCACTGAGGGAAAGAAATGAAACCTTGGAAGGTCAGCTAGCTGCACTTGAAGAAAAGAATAAAGAGTTTAGCGAGCAGATAACAAGCTTGCATCTCAAGCTTTCTGCTTCTGAAGAAAGGGCTTTTGGCTTAAGTGAAGAACTTAAGCAGCGTCAAGCTGATTATCAGAAGATTGCTTCTGAATTGGACAAACAGAAAACTATAAATAAGGAACAAGAAGGAAAGATTATTCAGCTAAATAATGAAGTAGAAAGTGCAAAACAAAAGTTAATTGATGAATTGTCACAAATTAAAGCAGTGCTGTCCAAAGTAGATGAGTTGTATAAATGTCACTCACTAGCTGAGTCTTACACTATGGATATTGATTTTGTTAATCTAAAAGCTTCATTAGACTTTCAAAAAGGCAAACTAGAGAGAGCTCAAGTGAGTTCTGTATGCATGCAGTCCCAAACTGCTTCTGCAGAAGATCAGAGATGGGAGGGCTCCTTTCACAGCACTGTTGAAAGCATTTGGGAAGAATGCAAAAATATTATAAGGGTTTCTTCACAAAAAAGTCAGCGGATTCAAGAACTACTTCAACAAGTTGAAGACTTAAAGAAAGGACTTGATGACTCTGAGAACTGTAATAATCAACTGAAAATAAATTAAATGAAATTGCAAATCAAGATCATCAGTCCTTAAAGGAAAAAGAACTTACGAGTCAGTTAGAAGAGCAAATTTAGAAGAAAACACAGGATTTTGAAAAGCAGGCTGCAGAAGATCGCAGAGTAATTGCCGAGCTCAAGGAGGAAGTTACCACCTACGAGGAAAAAATAAGAGAGCTTGAATGCCTTTTGGAGGCTTTTAAAGCTAAGGATGACAGCATAGAAAAGTTAGAAGAAGTACTCAAAGAAAAAGAATCTATTATTTTAAATCTAGAGACTAGTACAGTAGCTCTGCAAGAGAAATGTGCCAATTCAGACCTAACCATTAAAGAACTAAATGATAAAGAAGTAAATCTGAAGGAGGAAATTGTGCAGTTGATGAACAGTTTGGAGAATATGAAATGCTGTCTTGAGGAGAAAGAGAAAAATGAGGATGAGCAAATACAATCTATAGAACTGTAAGTAAATACTGAGAACTTCTAGACCTTTGAGAACAGACTCAAAGCTACTTTCTGTGAACATCAGTTTATTTTGACATAACACTTGCATGTTTATCAACTTTTTGAACCAAACTACTTAAGAAGTCTTAATACACTACTTGCATTTTACAGTTGCATATTCTGCTGCCTATGTTTTCCTCACCTGTTTGTATATTCTTTCATAATGATGCATCTAAATAATGTGGAACTACTGTAGGGAAACTACTGTAGGGAAACAGGAGCATGCAAGGAAAGAATTCTTTGGGGATCTCTAATATCGTTATATTGCATACACTTTCTAGAGGAACTAACATAGTTTAATGCTATATCCTGTAACTTGTCTGAAAGCAGGTAATGTTTTCTTTGGAAAGGACTGAATGTTAAAAAGGAAAAGAAGGAAGTTAAAAAAAAAAGAAAAGAGCTTAGGGAGTAAACAGCTGGTTTTGTTGATAGCTATTCTAGGTGAACAGAGACTACTATAAAACCTTGAAGGAATAACAGGTTTAGAAGGATAGCACTTTCCCCAGCCCCTTCTACTTTTTAGATCTTTAAGAAATAAGAGCTTAAATGTATCTGACAGACTATATTTGCTATATGCTAAGGCAATTGCAAGACAAAAATAGCTTCAAGGTGTTAGCCCTTCTCCTTACTGGGGTTTCTTTTGTGCCATATTTGTAGGTACCTGCATGTACTCTGATGCACACCTTAACATGAAGGTCTGGAGATCCCCCACCTTGAAAGGTGTTTCTCCTTTTGTGTGGCCTTGTTTTGTATCTTCAGCTATAGAATCTAAAAAACCTTCTGTTAGTTTTAAAGTAAAAATCCAAGGTGTCTTATTGTAAACTTTTAAAAATAAATATAATATAAAAATTAACTCATCAAACTTCTAAATTATTTTGTAGCCTGTGTAATAGCAGGACTTGTTGCAATGTTATTGCTTTTTCTGCTTTCTTATTTTTACGTATTTTGATCCTTTCAAGGTCTGGTATGTAGGTATCAAGTTGAAACTTACTTGATATTAACCTTGTTTCTTTTCTTACTTTGTAAGGACACCTAATGATAAAAATGATTGCTCTGGTCTGCTTAAAAATAAATTGCAGTGTTCAGAAGTGAATCTGATCAGTTTATTACTTCAGGATCATATAATAAGCTGAAATCCAAAAGTAAAGTTGTAAGGCTTGGCATCAATCTGATAAATTTAAGGTTTTTTAATGAATAAAAACAGCATAGAGCCTGAGTTAATGTGGAAAAGGTGTTTCTCTGAGATATATGATACTAATGTCGTTTACATCTCTTAATTTTGAACACAAGGCTACGTAAAGATCTTTCTGAGAGTTCTGCCCTTGTACGGAGTTTGAAAGACTTGCAGAGGAAAAAGGAAGAATATACAGATTTAATAATTAATACACAGATTAATACAGATTTAATAATTAATACACAGATTAGTACAGATACTGAAGGGGGGGTGTAAATTTTGTTCGTGTATTTGAAAAAGGTTTGTAAAAACTATGGCTAATCTGGTTATGGAGGAGTAAATTATAAACATAATCTTAATGACAACAGTAGCCTTATGTTATTCGCGCTGACTTCAAAGGGTGATGCTTCACGGGGAAAACACTGATACCTGGAAGGAGGAGATGGATTATTCAGAAAAAGCAACTTTTAAACATTTGAGTTGCGTTTCCTGTTAAGGTGTGGAGAAGAAAAGAAAGCATGGAATTGCTTTAATGTTAATTGTTAGTATTTGCTTTTCAAGCAGCAGGATGTCTTAGAACCTCATGGGATGTTACAAGAACTTAAAATCCAAAAGACTGTTGAAGAGTTTGGTTTGAAAATTAAGACTTCAATGTCTTCCCCAGCAGCCTATAATTTGAGGACCTATTCCTACTCAACTTTCACTGTATAATCCCTTGTTTGAGAAATAGCAAGGAAATGAATTTGTAGCTTGATTAGGTTATTTCTTGACAGGTCATTTTTGTTTTGTTTCTTTTGTGTTTTGGTTTGTTGGGTTTTTTTTAACCCACTGCCCCTGAAAATTTAGCTGTTTGCAGACATGTAACTCTTAATTAAAATAATTAGTTATTTAGTAACTTACAAAGGTTGTAAGAGGCTTATACAAAAAGCTAGCTTTCCTTGATGTCTTTGTGCATTGTTACAGGTGGGTACAATGCAATCTGAGGAGAAATCACTGAGGAGCAAGGTTAATGAACTTCAGAAAATTAAAAACCAGCTTAGTGAAGAATTAGAGATCAAACAGCGCACAATTCTGCAACTTAAAAAGGTTGGGGGTTTGGATTTTTATTTTTTTTACTGCTCTTAGTTTTGGGTTTTTTTGTTGTTTTTTTGATGAATCCTTAAACGGGGCAAGCAGAAGGAGAAAGCTTACAGAAACTGGAGTAAAGATAAGAGTTAGAAATAATTTTAATAGGTGGATAAAAGATGCTTAAAGAATTTCTCACTGCATGCCACTGTCAAATTGTTTTTATATAATCTGCCTAATACTCAATACTTGCAGATATTCTGATTAGTGACACATAGATATGTTAGTAGTAACATTTTCCTCTAAACCTTTTGGGGTTTAGTCAACTTGAATGCTCCTTAACACCACATAAAAAATTTATGCTGGACTGTTTTTCTTAAATGCCTTAGGAGCAGTTGAATAACGAGAAGCTGGAAGAAATCTCCAAAGAGTATGAGAAAACATGTAAAGGTCAGAAAAAGACAGTTTTATTGCTTCTCCCCTTTGTGGAATGGCAACATAATGAGTTGTCATATTGTTAATGAACTTGAGACAGTTTTATATATTTATATTTTAAAAAAACCTGGGAACTTCAAACAGGGCATTAAAATTATACAGTCAAGAACAAAATTTTATTAAGGCATTGTTTGCAGGTATCTTTGAAAGCAGTGAGTCTCAGATTAAGAAATATGAGCTCAGAGAAAGTGTGAATTTGCTGATATCAGTGTCAGGTTATTAAATGTTGGTATTTATTAGTCATTTTAACAAATTGGAACACTGAAACACTAACTAGCACAGTAACAGTTTCTGCAGGCTTGACAAACATCCAGCAGTTGAACAATTATTAGTTTCCTATATAATACAAGACACAGACTGATGTTAAACTGAAATGTTTGCCTAAATCAAGTTCATGGAGTCGCTTAAGAATTTTGGATTCAGATAGTTCAGTAGAGTTGCACTGTTTCTAATAGAGCTTTTGATCTTGGGCAGTGAGGAGGGAGAGGGCTTGTCCTGGTTTTCTGCTGGGATAGAATTGTCTTCCTAGTAACTGGTACAGTGCTGCGTTTTGGCTTTAGTATAAGATTAATGTTGAAAACAACAAAACATTGGTGTGTTAAGTAGTGGTTTCTCATGGATCAGTTAGTGATGAGGAGCACAAGAACTTGGGAGGGAGCACAGCCAGGACAGCTGACCTGAACTAGGTTAAAACATGATAGGGCTCATTTGTAAATATTTTTCAAATCTTCACATCTGTGTGCAAAGGAAAAAATAATTGAAGATATGCAGATGACATTAGGAGAACAAGAACAGACTCAGATTAAACAAGAAGTGATCGAAGCCAAACTAGAAGAGATCAACAGATTAGTTTTGGGTAATCTATGGAAGGGGAGCAGGGAGGCAAAATTATATTGGACCTATTGTGATTAGATGCTTTAAATTTATGGTTTTATTTGTTGACTGCTATTTAGGCATTAATTTTATGTAATACATAAGAAACTTCTAAGAGTTAAAGGCTCTGTTGTCCCTTTGCAGTCACAGCTGATAAATTCAAGGAACTTTAGAATAAGGATGTGAATGTGCTCAAATATGCATTTAAACTACATATTATATAACCTAATTTTGTGTACTGACTAGAACTGGAACTATGGAAGCAGAAATTTAGAGAGCTGAATAACCAGAGCAATAGTGACTGGCAGCAAAAGATGAGCAAAAATGAGGAGAAAAACAGAAGTGAAAATGAGGAAATAATGAAGCTGCAAAAAGAGCTGAAGATAAATATGGTGATGTAATTCATACTTAGTTTTAAAGCCATAACTTTCATTTAGAAATCTTTTTTTTTTCTGTGTCACTGTCTTCAAGAGCTAGGGCATCATATGGCAAGTTGTTGCACTAGTGAAGGAAACCTCCTCTAGAAGCTGTTTTACACCCATACAGCAGTTTGGATGCGTATCTTTGTAACATATGGCATCACTGTAGCCCTGTAATGAACTGCACTCGTCCTTATATTATGCTACCATAGATGTCTTTCTACAGCTAGGCTTCTCTTACAGTTGTCTTAGCTAATCTAACTCATGATAGCTATTCCAAACCTCTTTCCTGTCAGTTGCTTTGGCAACTAAATCAGACTTTCAAGATCTTGCACTTGCTGTACGACCTGTAACCCCTTCTTGTTAGGTTGAGGATTTAAACTTAATTCTCATTGGATTAGAGAGGAGATTTCCCCTCTCTCCCCACAAGTGGCTATTCGGGTGCCTTCTGTTTTATGTGGGTGAATGTCTGACAAGAGCTTTGATTGTGATAGGAAAGGAGGCAAAGTTGCTGTGGATTGAAGCGACATTCTTTGGTATGCTTGATCTCTGTCTACCATTCAAACTGTACCGTACTCTTTGCCTTCCAGTCTTGAAGTAGAAGTAAGTTTTCTAACATGTCCTGCAAGGCAGTGTAAAAGATTGGGAATCTGTAAGTTGAGAGTCTGTTTACTGGTGTAACTTTTATAGTGTGCTCACTCGGCAAGTTTTTAGACGAGAAAAAAAAGTTCCCATGAAGATGCGTCAGTCTGAATAAAACTTGCTGAAAATTGTTCATTTTTTTTTTCTCCCAATACGGAGGAACATATGAGAATGTAGTACTTGCACTTGGGAATATGCTGGAGTAAAACTGTTAGGATTTTTATCTTTTTGAAAGAAATCCGTTTAATGGTAATCTGGATTTTGAGATTTTTATTTTGTCTTAATCTCTACCTGTCGTTTTATTTCTGGTTTAATTAAAATAGGAAAATGAGGCAAAGTATCAAAGTGATAGAAAGAAGTGGCTGGAGGAGAAAATGACACTCATACATCAAGTAAAAGAAGCTGAGATCCTTCGCAACAGGGAAATGAGAAAATTTGAGAAGGAAAGAGAGCACCACGTAAAGAAACAAGCAGAAATTGTAAGTGACTGGAGGTCTTAGTATACTGAATCCTCTAGTGTCTTTAGCACAGAGCAAATCTCATGTGAAGTGTTAACAGTGTGGATGCTCGAGGGTAGTTGACCTTTGTCAAAATCCCCTCACTTTATCACATGGTGAAGCCTAGATGAGACCATCTTGTTAAGAAAAGGGAAGAATAGGAGGGTCACAAAATGAAAAAGCTTAATAGGTAATGGAAGTTAACATGCCTGTTCCTTTCTATTCTATCATCACCTCACTGAATTTTTCAAACATTATTTTGCGTGTAAAACACCTGTCAGTAACCTACACTTACATGAATTGCTGCTTATTGGAAGCTAAGAAAACATACTTTGAAAAATAGGACTGTTTGTTTGGCTCTTTCCTAAAAGCAGAAGTTAACAAAAAATCTTTTGAGATTTAGAGTAAAAAATACTTAGTTAAAATGCTAGTGGCTTTGTTCCTGTATCAGTTTCAACTGAGAGTTAATAGCAAGGTAAATGCCTTACCTGTTCACCAGGCTGCATTATGGCTGTATTTCTTGAGTATCTAAAATTATGAAATGAATCTGACCAATCTAAAACTGTATTTGCATCCAGATATAGTTGGCAATGACTTTCTGGACCTGCAATCAGTACAGGAGGGTATTAGGAGCTTAAGATTACTTTAACGTTATCTGTGACTTTGCTTGCCTGAGACTTGCTCGCTCTGATTTTATTACTAACAAAGAGTATAAATATAGATGCAGATTTTCTAATTGAAGCGTAGTTTGCTTTTGTATTCTTTTTTGTGAAAACAGCTCTATGCGAGCTTTGTAGGATCAATATAGGCTTTCAAGTTTACTCAGGCCATAAAATAGTAATGCTATGTGAAACCAAACTATCAGAACAGTTCAGATAGTGCGTAGAACTGGTGTTCAATTCTAATCTTTTTTTTCCCTATTTAGGAAAGTCTTGCTGCTGCACAGCTGGCAGAAAAGGACAACAATCTTCAAAAGTGGCATGAAGAAAGAGATAAATTAGTAGAAGCTTTGGAAACACAGCTCAGGACTTTGGTTTCTAACACCACACAAAAAGATAAGGAAATAGCAGAACTGAAACAGGCTGCACTAAAGGATTTGGGAAAGGTTCTCTCTCTCTTGTTCTTGTGGGATTTTTTTTTCTTGTTTTCCTTTGTTATGCATTAATTCTACAAAACACAATACTTTTTGTGGTTTGGCTCAGTTTTTTTCTTCTTACTGTCATATTGAAGCCATTAGCAGCTCATTAAAAATGGAAGCTTTATGTTTGAAATTGAATTTGTAACAGTAACCAAAGTTTCAGAACATTTAGTAGTTTATTTAAAGTCTCTTTGATTCTTTGATTGCAAAGTTGAACTGGAGATCTGAAACAGTTATCATAGCTGCTGCTTTTTTCACAGCCCCAGGGACTTAATGATCAAGTGGGAGGTGAACTATTTATAACTTCACATAAGTAGAGTAAAATAAAAATTTACATTACATCTTCCCTGGGTGTTACATGACTTTGCTTCACTTTAAATAGTGACCACTCATACATGAAATTGTTGGCTTTTTGTTGGATAGCTGACTGGTTTAGCTTGCAGTTCTAAAACTGATGCTTCCAAGTAACGATGCTTGTGTGTATATTTTCTTTTGTCAGTCCTGCAATTTGTGGCATGTTTTGCTATGTTTTTTAGGCTAAGGAAACTGATACAGAAGAACTAAGGAAAGAGCTGGCTGAGAAAGATGACTTTATAAAGGAACTGACACAGCAGGTTAACCATGAAAGTCTTCTGTCTATGGCAGAAGTACCTTTACCTGAAGAAGGACAATCTGAAATAGATCAGACTGTAAACAAAGAGGTATGTTTGTTATGGAAAGTATGTACTAATTATAAGGTTTTAATAACTTTTGTTGTTTTCTCAAGATACGTTTCAGCAGCACTGGGAATCTGACAAAACTTATTGCTCGTACTTCTTCATACTTTATCTTCATTTCCGAGTTCTTGTTCATTCTTTCCATCTCCCACTTTTGCTATCAGAAATAGGGTACTTACATTAATAGAATACCATCTCGCGATACATTTATAGAACTTGCATGCCTGAGGGGAAAAGTAGTTACCTAACCCAGGTTCTAGAGATTTGAAGACATTGTAGTGCCATTCCAGTTTGATGGTGTTCAGGGAATTTCAGCTCAAAACTTTTGTGATATTGCCTATACTGTGGTAATAAGAGATGTTTCTGTAATAGGAGCTTCCAACCTATATGGGGGTTCAGAAGAACAAAATAGTATCCTGCATACCACAGAAAACCAAAACAATATTTGAAGTTTACGCAAAGAAAATATCAACTTTGCTTATTTCCGGAAGGAAAAATTGAAAGGCTTGCAACTATCCTGAGACTTCCAATTCTGACTGAACTCCTGCGTGTTAACTTGAACAGTATTTAAGGATATAGTTCTCCTCCTAAACTGAATTAATGCTGTGTGGCTCTACTGCTAGTTAATAGTGAACAGGGCTGAAAGTGGATTTCCTAGCAATCCCTCCTTTGGCTGCTAGAACATGCATTTCTCCTCTTGCTACAGAACTGGAATGCAAAATGCATCTCTTCATCTCTTTCCTGTCTACTGCCAAATAAGACTGTCTGGCTAGTTTCTTGCTAGTTCATCAGTTCAGCTAGTGCCATATAGATAAAGCTTGTGATGAATGAGGGAGGACAGAGTAGCTTTCAGAAGGGTTAGTGCTTTACACAGCTTTGTAATAACAGGTAAGAGAGCACCATATTTTTTTTTTTTTGCTATTAAAGTAGTTATTGAAGAATTGTTGTGAACATTTGGTGCTGACATATTTACCTCAAGGAAGTAGAGACAATATTTGTTCCTATGGGTAAGTGGAGGTGTCTAGGAGGATTATGATGTGAGAAACTTCTGTTGATGTTGAAGTGAATGGGGTAAGGTTTTGGGGGGGAGAAGGCAAATAATTCCTGGGAAACACATTGTGACAATAAAGAAGAAAAACTAAAGCATTCAAGGGGATATGTCTCCTGCCATTTAAGAAGAGGCTAAGAAGATGGCAGTCTGATGACGAGAGGTTAAGGCTACTGGAGAGTTATGGAGCTGAGGTTTACAAAATCATGGTTGTGGTGGGTAAACAAAAGCCAAAACTGCAAGAACTGGGCAGCTGTTGATGAAACTAATAGGAGATAATTTAAACAATTAAATAACTTATTCCTATCTGAAGCCACTAATGATCCTCTGAAAACAGGTACTATCAGCAGGGAACAGAAAAACTTGAATTTGAAATCTGTAACTATATTGACGAATGGGTACTCCGAGGATTAGGCAAAGGTATATCCTTTGACCCCTCTAATGCAACAATTGAGAGTGCTGGGTGAGTATGGAGACAACAGATGACAAGGTGGCTGGGATCACACATTTTATCCCTCAAATAACAGCATCTCCCTTTGCCACTGTCAGAGGCAGAATATTGAACTAGATGGACTGCTGGTAAGACCCAGCAGGACATTTCTTATAATCTCTTAGCATGAATAGATTTTAGTGATTCAAAAATGTCCTGTTTCTTGTTGCCCAAACAATTCTAAAAGGTTTTGGGATTGGTTTTTTCATGAGGTTTTTTGGGTGGGTTTTTTTTTTTCTGTAAATCTTTCTTGATGATCAGCTCACCTAGTTTTGTTGCTCTTGGTAGCAATAAAAGCTGCATGACATAATCATGTGAATATATCTGACCTGAATCATGTGTTCTTGAAAACTTACCTATCGCTGAGGCTTATAAGGTAGCTGATTATTAAGCAGAGTGAGGAAGTCCTCATCAGTTGAATTTGTCTTGAATCAGTCGAACCTTGTTACTCACACAGTTAATTTCTCTAGGTGTAGAAGGGGGAGGGAAAGCTCCCTGAAAACAAGCTAGAGAAAGACTATACTTTTCTCTCAAGCTCCTATTACTGCCCAGTTCCTAAAGAGCAGCAGAGTTAACATGAGTAACATCGTGTCAATGCTACTACTGCTAGCTGTGAAAACTGTGACTAGCTGTCTCTGCCCTTGAGGAAAATGACTTGCAAAGTATCAGGCTGAGTTCAGCAAGGAAGACTAAGTTCTGTGGTCATGCATGGAAGTGTTAACCTTTTAAAATTTAACAAAAGTTTTAGAAAATAAGAGTGAATTCTGCTGTAGCTGAAGTAGATTCCTTTGCTTTTATTAACAGTGTTCCGAAAGCTGACTGCTAGAAAAAGGAATGCTTGCTAAGCAACCCACTGGAGAAGGATATGTATTATAGCATTTAAGTCATAGTTATTTTAAAGCTTGTTTTCTTAAAACGTTCCTATGCTTGCAGGACCATTCTGAAATTGCACTTGACTCGTCTGAAATGTCTACAGAAAATGGAAAAAACAGTCGGTTCCCAAAACCAGAGATGAAAATCCAGGTCACACCTTTGCAACCCAGTAAGATGGAGGTGAAGGACCAGGGCGGCCCCATACCAGTTACAATTAAAATGCTCAAGCCAGGAAAGAAAAGAAAAAGTGAAGAGATGGATGAGGTATGCCCTAGACCAACTGACATTACGTTGTGCAGCTTTTCTCTAGTACTCTGATAATTTGTTAAAATCCTATCCTCCTGATTCTCACTGAGACCCAAAAGATATATGTAGGGCATACTTAAGCTTCTTCAAACATCATCCTGTCCTTCCCCCTGCCTGCCAAGTGAACGAATCTCTGGCCTGTGATGAGTAAGGTGATAGACTTCAGTTTATTCAGACCCTGGCCCCTTGTCTCCGATTTGCACTTTCTCTTCACCTTTTACTTTTCCCTCTCCCTACAAGCACCATTTGCTTCTGCCTCCAGCTGTGATATATGTGGGATTGCAGACCAGTTCTATAGAAATTTTTCTTTTGGTTTAGACAATTATTGATGTCAATTATAAACCCCTCTAATGGTCAATTACAAGTTAATTCTGTGCATTAAATCAGTGCATTTCAAAGTTTCAAGACCCCTTCCTTCCACTTTTCCTCCAGCTTGTGTTCTCTTTGATCTTTTTCTACTTGAAGGGACTATGTACCAGCACCTGAACCTCCCTGTTTTCTGTAGGCCTTAATACCTCTTTAATTTCTTCAGTTGTACTAGATTATGTACTCCAGCCCTCTTAATGTGCTGTGGTGTTTACATGTGGGACAAAGGCTCCACAGCAGTCCAAGGTGGTAAAAATCTTCACTTCTCCTACCTGAACTGCATGTTCCATCCCTCTGCCTTCTATCAGTGCCAGCACAGCTTTCTCTAAGACACTTAAGAAGGCCTTGAAACCGTAAGAGCACATTGTGGTGGTACTTTAATCGTACTTGTGGGGCTTATGAATCTCTATGCTTTTAAGGACTTTTTAAGCTGACAGGTAAGTATGAGATTGTGGATGATTTGTCTAGGTAGTAAGTGGTGTTTTAGCGAGTGAACTTCTCTCAGCTGAAGAGTGAAGTGTCTGATGCTTTTCTAGCATTTCTCGCTCAATCATTCCCAAGTGATGTTTTTTAATCTCTAAATAAAATAGTTAAGATAAATAATCACTTCCATGATTACTGTGCAACAGGGCTTCAATAAACTCATTTTGTTAAACCTGTTAAAAGCTGTGTAAGTTAGTTCATCTGGAATTCAACACTTCATTCTGGAAGCATGTCCAGAGCTGATTTAAGTTTCTTGTGGCTTGAACCAGTTTTCTTTTGAGAGTAGTATTTTTTCAGCTTGCTGGCAAAGTAGGTGTAAAAATAACCACCATTCTGAAGGCACTGAAAAAGTACCAAACTTTTCCTACAGGTATTTAATCTCATGTAGTTATAGGATCATAGAATATTTAAAGTTTTTAGAGAAGATTGTTTTACCTATTCATTTAAATCCTTTCAGTGTAGTTTGTGTTCATACCCTTATGGGAGAACATTTAGCTAAGTAACTTTTCAATAACATGAAACTAAATTTTAAAGTATCTTATTGCTGTTCTGTTCACCCAAATATGACTCTTAAATATAATTTGTTATGCTAAATGGATTATAAAAGGATTCAGCAACTTTAACTGTCACAAGTCTACTGAAGACACAATTTGTTTTTAAATTGTCTGAAACAAAAGCATGTTGTCAGCAGTAAAAGTAAGGGATGGGGGGAAATCTGTGGTGTTCAACCACATACTGCGCATCTCCCTTTCTTTTTTTAAGAAGTGGTGTAGTTTGGGGTTGGAATTTTTGGGGGTTTGGGTGTGCTTTTTAAAAACCCACTTCTTTTGCTGAGACTCTCGATAATTAGCCAAAGAACAAAATTCTCTTTCTCTTCTGACACTGTTATGAGTTGGTATGGCTATTGGTTACCTGAAATCTCTTGGCAATAATGAATGAGATGAAAGTCATATTTTAATGACAGCTTTACACTATCATGTTAAGCTGTCAATGTCACTGACATGTTTTTATAATTGTCACTGTAAATCTGAATTTTCATTTTGATTTATTGAGTTAACTTAAATTTGTGTATTTGCGTCTCAAATGTCTTAAAGCCAGAAGTATAGGGAACAATGGAAGGAGGAAAATAATAAATGTCTGAATGGTTTGGCCACAGGTATTTCTAGCTCCCTTCCACAAGTCTGTTTAGCATTTAATTCACATTTGAATAATTACTTCTATCCAGTATTAGCCAATGGCTCCCTACTGTTATTCACAGCACTTAAACAGTGACTGCTTCTGTAATATAAATAATTGTTGGTTTTTTCTAGAAGAATCTTAGGTAAAATTTGTCATTTATTTTCTTAGGATTTTGTGAAAAGCGAGAACAAAAAAAATGCAAAACCTGCTATGACTAATTTGCCTTCTACAAGCAACAAGAAAATGGTTTGATTTTATTCTATTTCTGAAGTTAGTTTGGCCTTTTCTGTGAAGGTGGGCTTGTGAAAGGAGCAGACATATGCAGCAGTATCTTCTCTTTATCTATGTACTTGAATAGGATTCTAAACATGTTGTCTTCCTAAACTCAATATACTAACCAAAAAGAGTCTGTATTTATCAAGAATGTGTACTAGCTGCACTGTACAATCATTCATAGGGAATGACCTTTCATACTGAATATTGAACATACTATTAATATACATAATGTTATAGGCAATTCCTTTGAAGTAAAAGAAAGGTTTATTTCACCTATACGCATGAAAATTGTGAGGATTATTTTAGGCATTAGTAGTAAACTGGGTGGGTTCAGAGGATGGGTAGTGGATACATTTTCCCCACCAGTTTTCTCTTGTTTTAGTTATAACTAGAATAGCTGGTCTAATGAAATTGCCTACAACTTTGAATTTTTTTTTCTTTAAGAAACTGTTTTCTATATTTCTCATGCCCTTAAATGTATTTTGTGAAACTTTGACGATGTTTTTTAATTCTGGGTATAAAACAAGGCTGTTTATATTTTTTTGTTGTGGTAGGGTCATTAGTACAGTGAACAGAGGTGCCAGTAGGAAAACTCAGAATGTCAGCTTGAGAATAACATTATGGTAAAATAAAATGGAATTAATCTTTAAGATAAGTCAACTTGCAACTTAAGCAATGCTCTTGTATTTTTGTACAGATGTCTACTATACAGCTTAGAAAACCATACCCCTTAAGAAAGCAAGAATCCACTTCAAGTAAAAACTCTGCTAAAAAGAAAGATGGAAAGCTGCAAAAAAGTGGAGATTTCTTCCAAAGTTCTCCTACTATTATTCAGTCTAAAGGTTTGTACAGAACAAATAAGTCTCATTGCATATTCTCTGGGCATTGCAGAATAACTTTTTTCTACTGTAACCTATTAATACATATACTGTTCAACGATAAGTCTGCTTCATTAAGTTGCTGTTTTGTTTATGAAATAAAGGAGTCTGAACTGGGGCTTGCTATATTAAATCTTGCAGAGCAGAAAAGGCTGTCTTGATTGCAAAGACCACATGGTTATCAAGTTTAGGTTGTGAAAGATAAACTGGATGGAATGAAAGGATGCAGTGTGGAATATATGCATATAAATTCATCATAAAAGACATAACTGTTAAGCTCAACATGTTGGAGTTACTTTGGTTTTGCTTACAGTAAAACCAAACAGTTAAGGGCACTTTCAGGGACTTGTCCTGCTGCTCTAAAGAGAAAAATGAAGAGCTGAATCCAGATTCTAAATCTTACCTTGCTCTATAAGTGATCCCTCCTTACCCACACCCCACCTCCCCACCACTTTGTTTCTGTGGAAACTGTATTAATGCTTTTCTTTATGTACATATATGGGAGAAAAAATATAGTTCTACAGAACCTAAAGCTGGTGTCTTATGAAAATATTTGGAAGACTTCAATAAGCTGACTATGAAGCGATTAATGGATTTCACTAAGTTTAAGCATAGCCTTGGGAAGATTAACTGCTGGGACTTTCTACTAAAGAACATGTTACTCTTTCCTGTATTAAAACAGAATTTCTGAGTTACTGTGTTTAAAACAAAAATAAAATTAGCAGTGGGCACAAGGAATTGCGTGTGTTGAATTCTAAAAGACACAATTGTTTGGTTAAAACCAGATCAGTTGTTATTCGGTGTGGGTGGTTAAAATGAAGATCTCTATGCCAACTGAAAAACTTGACTTGCTACAGAGGACATCTTACCTGCTGTAAAACAGTCTAGATGGCGATCGTGGGATTTTTAAAACATTCCAGGCTTATCAGATTTGGCTCCATGAGGACAACATTGTCATCAATGTAAGCCAAATTCAGGTTACTCAAAATTTCACCCTGAAAATACTTAATTTGAGCAAATGAGGTCTAGTTTGTAACCTTTGTTATGTCCTGTGTTTTTCTCTTTTACATAACTTGCTATTGTTCAGGATGTCTTCCTTTCTAGCTCATAATACGCATACAGTCATCTCTTTATACAGCTAGTCCTGCCTTGGTAAAACTACAGAAATATCTAGAGAAAATTGACTCTACCCTGTGCTCCTGTCAGCACAAAGAAGTGTTAAGCCTGTTGTTCAACTTCTTTGGAATTGTTTATTTTCCAGTGAAATCTGACTCCTAATTGATTTTAAAGGACACCTTTAAATAGCACATTAAAGCTTTTGCACCTGAAGCTATGAAAACCTTCTTCCAGCCACAGAAAACTGTGGTAGTCAAATACCACATCTGAATTTTTATATTTAAACTTCAGACAATATCTCTTTAATTTTTAAGTTGTTTTTAGTAAAGCTTGCTGTATTCATTAGTTTTGAAGTTTACAAACACAGTAAGACATTGATTTATGATTAAATATTTTCATCTAGCAAAGAAGCTGATTGCAACAATAAGCTCTCCTAATTCTGCAGAACCAGAAAGCCTAAAAGAAAATGAGCTGAAGCCAAAACGGGCTAAGAGAAAGCTGTATTCAACTGACATTTCTTGCCCTCTAGATATCCCTGCTTCTTCGGTAAGTGATTACAGGTTACTGTTCTGTCCACTGTGATCTACTTCTGTAATTGTGATTTAAAATACGCTCTTAGGGGGACAGAACAAATCTGAAGGTCTAACCAAGTTGCAGAAGAAGTTTGAAAATATTTATCTATTTCTTGATTCTACCTACCCATTGCTTTTGGCCTCTTCTTCCTGCTGTTTTACTTTCTATGTCTTCTCACCTGTCCGTAGATTTGGAATAGCATAATTGAAATACTAAAGCTACAAAAGTCTGCAAGTACAATTAGCTTTGCAGGGCAAGTGAGCACCAAAGGTAACTTCCAATTCCATTTATGCTCAGCTGATATTTGTTACTGTAGGATGATGGTACATCCATGCTTTTCAAAGCACAGTTTAGATAGCCTTCTGTGTGTGCTTAAGTCAGCCTAGAACAAGTCTTCTAGGCCAGAGCTTGATTTATGACTTCTGAAATCCACGTAGGTGGTTTTGACAGTAACTATGGTTGCCCATAGCGAGATACGTATGCTATTGAATTTTCTGTAAATAGCATGAATGAATACAGCAGAAATGAAAATGTTTTTCACAGGAGGGTGAAGAAAATGGCAAATGCAAAGCAAAAGAAGCTAAGAAGCTTGGAAGTAAAAGGGAAAATGACAGACCAAATTCCAGGAAAGCAGAGATAGCTATAGGAAATTAAGATAAAAATGTTTTCTGAACATTTCCTGTTTCACAAAATGAGTATTAGAGTTTAGAAGTGAGAGCTGGTTTCAGATCACGTTTTGCTTTGGACTTCGGTATTTGTTTCAGAAAAAAAAAAAAAAAAAGTGATTTTGTATGTCCCTGGTATTTGTCACTTATTCTGATGCAATAAAAGAGTTTTTCTGTATCGGGGACCTCTGGCTAAAAGATAATAAGGAAATTTCATTCTGAAAACAACTTATGGGGAAAAATCAGGCTGCTGATAACATGGGTCTAGAAGTGCGTGTAATTTGACTCTGAAGAAATGCTGAGTAACCCTTGAAATATAATCTCTTTCAGATTCTTATAGAACAAAAACAGAAGGAATGCGATCATCTAATCATCAAGCGACGGCTTCCATCAAAACAAGCTAAATAATCTTGCAACAGCATGTTTGTATTTCCTTGGTTAGGTCGTATTTCTATTGTATTACTTCAGTTGATTGTACGTGGGAAATAATTGATACTTCATTATGCTCTGAAGTATGTATATAGATGTGTAGAATTGTTCTAATGTTATTAATTTTTTACTTCATTAAAACTGAAATGCTGTTCAAGAAAGCTTGTGTCTGAGTTCATTTTTTTTTTTTTTAAGGAATGGTGTCCTTGGAAGTGTTCATAATTTACCCATTGTGCAGGAAGTACTATGCCTGTGCGAAATGGTTGCCGGTATATCTCCGATTAGAAAAAATTGACTACACATCAAAACTTGTACATGGCTTTCTTTACTCTTCTCCTGTAGATTGTCTGAGCATGAAATGTCTCACTGTAAGGATAACGCATAGTTCAGTTCTGTAGATCCTGATTTGCAAGATCAGATTCTCATACTAAGTTGCTTCTCCAGTTTCTTGACTGTGAAATGGAGTTGTACCCTTACACTCTTCCATAAAGAAATACTGTTGTTTTTTTTTCTAAGTTGACAGTGACAAAGTGAGCCTGATTCACAAATCTTTCACCTCTTCCATTTCTTCAACTTTTTGTTTCATCTTCTGTTTGTGTGAGTGTGAACTCAGATTTCCTTTTTGTTAGCTCATGTTTGGTATTGCCATTTTCTTCCCTCTTTTCATTCTAACAGGAAAATGTAAAATCCAGGTATGGTCAGATAATTGTAAATAAAAATAAATGCAGTGTCACTTAATAGCTCTTCACAGGTAGGATTTTATACTTTGAATACTTTTGTCTTTCTCCAGATCTCCTGTCTTCTGCTATCTGTAGTCCAGATACCTGGAGCGATCTCTTTCAGGACTCTAGAAGACACCAGTGAAGATTGTTACCTGATGTAGATGCAAGTTGTTCACTTTACAGAAATCTTTTATAGATGGAGGCAGGAAATGTGCAAGGTGAAGGTGACCCTGGCCATTGCAGGAGGACTGGAACTAGCTGATCTTGAAGATCCCTTCCAACCTGAACCATCCTGTGCTTCTATGATAAAACAGTCTTAAACAATGGGACAGTACTTGGGATATTTATTCTTTGCCTTAACATTTTGTCTGGGCGTTTTCCCATTTTTAACAGATGTTCTTTTTCAGTCAGCTTCAGTCTTGACCCTTAACTTTTTTCTGAGTAGTTTCAGTTAATTTTAGAACCCATCAGCATGTGCCTGTTTAGCTGGATTGATCCTTCCATTGTGTGCAACCTTGCACTTGCCTGCAGTGAAATATGTATGCTATCATGTTGCCTTGAATGACAGGTTGATTGCTTATCGTTAAATCATCAAATGGCCTTACAGCTCTTATTTAACAAGAAAACATGCTAGGTAAATGGAGAATTAGAAGAGCACTGAATTACTTGATCGTTGCCTATACGATTTCTTTATTGATCTAAATGTGTGGCAAGTAATAGAAGTATCTTCAGCTATTTCATGTAACTGAAATTGTTGCTAGTGTTTATTCTCCTTATCAAATATACAATTTCATAGTTTCAACTACTATGTGCTTCTTCCTGATTTCATGGTTAACTAAGTGACAAAATTGCTTTGATTACTCTGGTAAATTGCAATTTATCTGTGCAGCTAACTAGGAAGTAGAGTCCCTCAGTATAGTCAAGTCAGTGACATTCAGGAATGCTACTGCACTTGAGCTGTATTGCCAATTTGGCTAAGCTCTTATATTTACTAAAATTTCATCAGTGTTGCTGAGCTATCTAAAGGCTATGGAAACTGTTTTTTTTCTGGAAGCCATTTAAATGGGTGTCTTCATTATAACCTGAGCACGAGAGTACCTATATATACATGCATGAAATTGAACTTGTTCATTTTTTGTCCTTAAATTAGCCTTTGCATTTGGAAGAGCCATACTGAATTAACTTCCTTTGTAGGTGTAGGCTTGGTTATCAAACTCCATGGTTACACATTTTTAATGCAGAAATAAAGCATGCTCCCTTTTGTTTTGATCACGGGACTGTGGTTTCTGTACTTCCTACAGTTGAAGTTTGAGCCTGTATATGCTGGTAGCCTAGAGAATGGGTCATACTTTATGTATCTCCTTTCTCCATGTCAGGATTTCCAGTTATTTCCTGAACAGAAAGGGAATTAAAATATAATCTGAGAAAGGAGCATATTCACTTCTTCAGAAAGAATGGAGTAATGGGATTACTTTTTTTGTCCTCCTAGTTGAGACTGGGGCTAGCTCTGTATTGTTCTTTTATCAGCTCCTCTGAAGAACAAAGCAAAAAGGTGTTTTAGGACCTTATGTCCTTTTGCCTTCTGATTCTTCCTGATAAGTACCATAGCTAACTCAAATCTGAGCATAACTCCTATTTATTTTACCTAATGCTTTAGTGTAAGGTTCATCAATTAACTTGCAGATCAGAGAATGGTTTTTGTCTGTTAATGGAGATGTCAGTTCTTTACCTAGCAAAGACCGAGATAAGCACCATTTAATGGAAATTTGGTCTATATTTTGACGTGAAGATATCTGGTAATACTGAAATTGTCCATGGTCTCTTCAGAACTTACTTGGCTGTAGGAAGGTGTGAGGCGTCTATTACTGTGCATCACTGGCTGAAGGGGGTAAGAGTTTCTATATATAAAATCGGGTCATGCAGTTCTGATGTGCTAAGACACTTGGATCACACAAAGGAAAATTTCCTGGAGATAGGCACAGTGACTTCCACTGTTTTGTGCTCCAGTCCTCCCTCCAGCCCCCCAGATTTGAATAAATCTAGTTTCTGTACTAGGTTCAGGCAGAGGGCAACCTTACTCAGTGTCAGTCTATTCTGTACACTGAAAACTTCTGATACTTACAAATGAAGCTTCCTTTTCATCAAGAGAATAAGCTTAGATCCTTATAACTTTAATAACAGACTTTCCTCCTTTCTTTTAAGATATGGCCTTGCTTCTCTAGTGTATTGTTTTCTTACATGAGGAAGGAGGCTTTTTTGTAATATGAAACAGTTCTATTTCTGGTGTAACACCTGAATCCTGCAAACTGCCTTGTACAGCAACGCCGTTGTCTTTGAATAGTTCATTTTGAATGTGTCAGGCTGTGAGGCGTAATTCTTACAAAATAGCCTGTGCTGTACTTGTGTCAACCTAACCCAACTTTTCCAATGGTTAACGCTCATCTTGAAAAGACTATTCCTTCCTCAACTTCAGGTCATTTGGGGTGAACGCTTTCCTTTGTCATCCTCATGACACTCCACCTACAGACCTAATGAAGGCTTCTGGAAGGAAAACGTGAGGGTGTTACTTCATACAGGTCAAGCTTTTCTCTTTGGCAAAACTAAACAAAGAGCAAGAGTGGCACTATCTGATCAGCCAGCCCATGAATTGAGGCTAACTCGGGAGTTGAAGTGAGAAAAGGGAGCAGAATATTTTGGGGGTGATTTTTCCGTAAGTGATGCAAGTACTTGAACATTCTTGAAACTTGATTGGTGCTGTGAGAGAAGAAAAACAGAAGTACTTGAATGAAACGTGCTTGTTTCGGTCTCTACAAAGCCAGTTAAGGGGTGTTGCCAGCGCCAGCAAAACTCCCAGGAGATGGCGCTGGGACACTGCACGAGATGGCGAGTCTCGCCGCTGAGAACTTCAGCTGCTAGGCTTGGAGGGACAGAAATGATCTACTTTGTTTTAAACTAATCCACTTTTCACCCCATTTAGCCAAGCTTCATAAAAAAGTTCAGAATGGAGCATTGCTGGACTATTTTCTTGGAAAAATCCTAGTTCTCCAGATCTTTTTTCCTGCTACAATGATGTTACCCATGCACAGGAGCAATCAGCATAAAGCCCTGTCAGAGATGATTTTGTTTCTCAGATCAGGATTCTGAGAAGTAGTATTGGTTTATATGCACTGATGTCTACTGTGAACTGTTCATAAATTTCTGCACCCTAGCATTTCACAAGAGTGTGTTTTTCTTTTCTAACAAAGATAAAGGATACTCCCATTGAAAAATTTACTAGGCAGAGCTGGGGTTCCTCCAAGAGCTAAGAGTACGAGATCAGATTTCTGAAGGAAGAGTTTGTTTCCAAGAGCTGCTTACGAAGTTTCCAGATATTTACAGCTCTTTGCACTGATGGATAAAGTTGGACTTCCCCATTGTTCCCTCACCTCACTCCTGAGATGCTGATGTTAAACAAAATCACTATTCTGCCATAGGGACTTAGAATGCATTTTGCTGTAAGTGCTATAACATTGATTTATTTTGGGGTAATTTATGAGAATAATGAATATTCTATGAAGCAAGCTGTGGCTTACTTTACAACACAAAAATACCAAATTGTACCTTTCCTGCTGTGCACTGAGGCCTCCGTGCGCTCTTGGGTTGCTGCTGAAAGATGAATTCTGAGACTACTCTGGGAACAAAGACAGGTTTTTTGAGTTGACCCAAAAAAACAGCTTTTCCAGTTCATTAAATAACTAGAAGACTTAGGCAAAATGAGCTTGCACCTCTTTCAGTTCATTTTCAACTGTTTGAAGTGTGCTCTGCTCTTAAAAAGGAGTCCTTTTAATCATAGAGAAATTGCTAATTTCATGCATCATTGCTGCTTCATGTCAGATGGAAGAGAGTAGAAAATTCTGACTTACAAAAAGTGGATAAAGGAAAAGCAGCATATGTAGATAAAATCCGTATATTAAACAGCATACGGATTTTAGATCTCCTTAAAGTACCTTACCTCATAGGCAGGTATACTTTATCTTGGAGGCCTCACCTAAAGTGAATAGTTCTGAGTACATGCTTGGAGAAAGCTAGCTGGCTAATTTTGTGTGCATTATTAATCAAGGGAGATTTAGATGTCATCTGTCACCAATAGCCCTTAAATAGGATTTCTGTTTCGACATGTGTTAATGCCTCAAAGCAACACCAGAAATGATTGCACAGGCTCTGTGCAAAACCCCAAATAGTAATTCTCCCCTCAGTGGCCTTTAAAACTCCAGGTGTAGCCAGACAAGGTAGTTGAAAGGTTCTTG